TATCATATCAATATTCCGAGGCAACCATTCCACTGTTCCTTGAATGGGGAGTTGAGTTGGAGTGCAGGCCGAAGCAGAGAGCCAAGCAGAACAGACCGGAGCAAAACTGGGGAGAGGTTGTGCCGCAGATACAAACTCAGAGATACACACGCACACCAACAAATGAAAAACACTCGCGCTAAGTGTGAGTGTCTCAAAATTCAAGCGAACAAGTCGCCGCACACCCGATGAGGTCATCAATCACATGCAACAAATGCGAGGGCGGAACGAGAAGATGGCAGGGGCAGGGGCAGGGGCAGGAAGCCAATCCTTAAGCCTTTATATACCAACTACTACACAATCGCCTAATAAGCCTTCTTTTTTAAGTGTCTATAAATATAAACAAATTCTAGATCTATGTCTACGAATTTTTAAAGTGCTTTAATAAATACTTGCACTAGAGGCGAAATTTTCAGACTAAGTTTAGAATTAATAGTCTTGGTTTTATGTTTTCTTTTTGTGGTTAAAAATAAAATAATTTTAAAGGAGCTTCTAATAAGTTTTTTCTTAAATAAATATATACTGAAAATATTTGCAATTATTAAGAAAATAAAACTGATTAACTCAACCCTATTTACTTTTGTGTTGTATGTTCAAAATGCTCTTAAAAATTGTTGCATTTTTGTCTTGTTTAGCCTTAGTAATATTTAAGGAAAATTTACAGAATTATAATTATATTTTTTATTTAAATTTAGCATTGTAAAATGTAATCTAAGTTCAATGAGTCAACAATGTTTTTTATAATGGAAATTACATTTGAAAGAAAAAAGTTATTACTTAATTTGCATGCGTAAAGCCATTTCTCAGTTGGAAAAATAAAATAATATGATGTCATTTAGGACGTGATATTTTAAGTAAAATTAACAATAAACTGTGATATAAAGGTTCTTTTTATCTCAAAAATATTCCCACTTCTATAGAAATTTTAACGTTTTTGTAGTACAAAAAACATTTCAACACATATAGATATTATTATTAAAATTAAAATTTAAATATTTCTCAATTTCAGTTAAGTTTAAATCAAAATTTAAAAATGTCAAGCAAAATATAGGCTACAATTTCACATATTCATATTAGGTTCATTTTTTTTACTCACCAAAACTTTGGCGAAGCGCCGGTCCAGCTCGTCCGTGGTGGGCATGGGCTGCTGACTCCGGCTGCGCAAACTGGGCTGCCGAACGTGCTGGTATTGTGAGCTGCATCCGATATCGTAGCGCAGATCCTGCTTTTGCAGGGTGCCGGACGTGGAGCCGTTGTGGTGGTGGCCATTGCGCATCGAGTGATGGCTGTGATTATGCGGATGCTGCAGCTGCTGCTCGTCGGCGTCCACATCGGCACTGGTGATGGTGCGCGACTTGACGGCGCCCATTATGGTGGCAAAGCGACCGGAGCCAGTGCCGGAGCCGCACCCGCCCGCGCCTACGCCTCCTCCTCCTGGATCCACTAATCCCCCGGATCCTCCGCCGCCGGCGTCCTCGATGCTCGCCGCTTGGAGCGCTGTGCTAAGGGACAGTGATAGGGTACCCCATACAGTCCGGCAAAGGGCACGGGTGCGTTCCGGGCAACTTGAAAGTTGCTCTTTGATTCCGTTAAAGATATCCAAAGCGGCTGCTGTAGCTGCTGCTGCTGTTGTTGGTGTTGTTTTTGTTGCTGCTTCTGTGGTTGATGCTGTTCGTGCGGGCGAGCGTCAACAATTGGCCAATCGAAAATTACGTTTTGTTGGGGTTTTAGGTTGGAAAAGAGAATAAACTGCTGTGTTCAAATTTTGAAAATTTAATTTACTTTTTTCTGACAATGTAAGCAAAAACACAATTTGTTGCTGTTGCTGTTGCAGGTTCTGCGGCGACGGCGGCACTCACACAAGCACAGAGGCACAACACACGCACACGAATGCAGGCGGCACAAACACAGACAAAGGCGGATTTTATTGAAAGGCTCCTGCGGCAGGCGACGACGCCTTTTGTGCTTTGTTCGCTGGCTTTCCGATTGTAACTGCGTTTTCACCTTAATTATTGCTTCGTTGGAGCATTTAATTGGAGCCTGGGTCGAGATTTTGGGTAACCGAGTGCCCCTGCAGTTAAATGCACTTTTTTTTTGCCGAACGACCGCGCGACGTCCGCGCTTCACAAAAATTTCGAACAGTGTGACCGCCTTTTGAATAAGTGTTTAACCCGTAAAAAATCTCAAAAAGTTGAAATTTCCCCCTAAAAAATCCACACCTGATATTCGAACCACATCTGATACTACAACCTTTGGTTACACTGTACAAGAACGAAATCAAATTAGACTTTTTATCAAAGACAACAACCATAGTTGGGAAATGTTGACTTTGACCAAAAGGTATGAAACCTTGCTGAAAAAAACTTTTTAGCCATTTTGGCGCGATATTTAAAAAATTCAAACAAAAATAAAATTTAAACAGCGCTTGAGCAGCTTCGGTAAAATTGTATAGCAAAATGACTGTTTTTAGTGTAACTTCAATTTATAAAGATTAATAAAGTTCGTTTTATTCTGGCGCAACCATTGTATATTAAATAAATTTGCTAAAATATTATAGAAAAGGATATTGACGAGGAAAAGTTGAGTGACAGAGTGCACTAGAAATAAAATAGAAAAATATTGGCAAACATATTTTTATTATTGAAAAGACGTTTTATACGATTGGACATTACGTTAATAGACCGACAGACATTTAACCAACAACTTTTTATTTCCAAAAAAGACCAACAAATCAGGTTTATTTCATGAATTTTGGAAATAGTTTATTTACTATTCTTTAGAAATAAATAAATAATTTATCAGAAATAAAAATAAAGATAAAAATTTAAAAATTTGATGTACGTTTATATTTATATTTTCAATAAATTTTCATTAAATGCCCTAGATTCTTATTTACGATTGCTTTACATGATCAATACAGCACTTTTTTCTACACATTCAAACGATAGCAATGAATAGATATTTTTTACCCATCTTTATACACCTTTTTAGCCTTTTAACACCTGTTAGGCCGCGAGAGATTATAAAGTGAAGAGGCGCAAGCGCGAGCGAGAATTATTACAGGCCATAACGCCGTATGGCAGAAAAGTAACAAGCTTTAAGTTAGTCAGCGAGTAGAGCAGTTGGTGGCGAGTCATCCTTCGGGCATCTTTGAAAGTGCGTAAGTATCCGCGAGGTAAAACCCTTTCAGCGTTTTAAACCTAACCATATTATTATTAGTATTAGAATCAGGTCACCTAGAATTGCAATTATATTTAAGCCAAAGAGGTCTGTTAAGTGCACTCTGTGCAAGGACCGTTATAAACGCAGAACTTTTCCGTCTTGTCTGTTCTAGATCCTCATTATCCTCTGTTGATACGGGAAGAGCTTAGCTGGTGTGTTGGGGTATCCTGCTAAGCTCGCAGAAAATCCTTTTAGCTTAAAGCAACACGGGAGCAGAGGTCATCAAATCAAATCCCTGCGTCAGCATCAGTTTCAATACCTAGATAGTATCTAGTGAAGGCTTTCACGCCAATCTCCCCCTCGTGTGACGAAATAATTGGCAGTCACACCGCAAGAGGGAAACGGAGAGTAGGTGGGTTTTTAGTGGGTGAGGTAATTCCAAGTCCCACACTTATCGGCTTTCAATGCTTTTCCCCCTATAGAAAAAAAAAAAAAAAAAAAAAACACAACGCCCACGCATCAGGTGGCACATTTTGCATATCACAGGATAAATGAAACCATGAAACCATTAATAAATACATACATACAATTTTTCACCATTTTAACACCTGTTGGCAGAGAGAGAGAGTTGAATGCGCGAGCACCATATGGTAGAAAAGGTGCCAGGTAAGTGACGTCACGGAAGAGCAGCTGGACGAGAGAGGCCAAAGCCACAAGAAGGAAATAAAAGCGTGGGTGAAACCTAATTCTTAACCCACCCAAATTCTACGATTTGTTTACGATTTACGGTCTTAAAATCAATTCAAATGTTTACGTAAAGTATACCACAAAATATTACCTCAAAGAAAAAAGAGGTAACGCTTCTTTTAGCAATTTCCCTATCACCTCAAAGGATTTCCACAAAAGAATACACAAAGTAATAATACCTTGTAATATCTAATTAAGGCTTTTCACAGTCTCCACCCAATCCCTTGTCGAGTAATCAGCGATTGCGCCACGAGAGAAAAATTGTTGATGGGTGCCATTTGGTGGGTGGTTCCTTGCTTATCAGCTTTCCATGCTTTTCCACCCTTTAGAACAAAAAAAATTGCAGTCACGCTCAGGTAGCTTTTTGAAGCATATGTACATGGGTCGGGGTAATTGTACCCATAATTGGCTGGCGGAGAAAGCTGCTGCCTGAAGCGTATACAGAATTTAAGGAAACTTTTTAAAAGGCCTTCTATGTATTTTAGACCAGCAGAGTTTATCCCTAACACATATTGGGGATTTTTCTTAATTAATTTGTAAAATATTTTAAGCACTTTAATGGCTACACTCATAAAAATTGTTATCTTAAAATTGAAAAAAGGCACACTTGGGAAAATTGCCCTAAAATCTGATTAAAAAATATTCTGAAATCTAGAGAAATTTGTTTTAATGTAGAAAAATTTTTTAGTTTTTAAGGCGATTTGTTCAAAATATGAGAACTAATTGTTTATGGTTTCTGATATCAGGGCGCCTTGCATTAAAGTCATAAAAACGTTTTCTTAATTTCATTTTTAGGGCGATTTTTTTTAAATATAAAAAATATTTTTATGAGTATGGTTGTGTTCATATATCGAATTGGAAATTACCTGATTTCTCGTAATTTTAGAGGCTGCCAGCCAATACAAAAATCCGTAACTGTGGAAATTTAAAAGACAGTTTTCCCGGCAAAGATTAAGCAAGTGTGACCTGATCCTTAAAATTCTGAATTCGTGCTTGGCCATCCGATATCTGGCAGCACCTGCATTTCAGGCGTTTTGGTTTACTTGGCGGAAATGCGGACGGTCACTCTATATTGAATTAATGTGTTTACTTTGTAATTTGTTTTGAAAAAAATGCAATTCCATCAAGTTTAAACTACACCTTGAAATGGGAACCCCGCGCAAGAACTTCAACAACTTTCCGCCCTTCAACCCGCGGGCGGGCCAGTATCCGTCCCAATCCGCAGACTACAGATCGCAACAGTTTGGGGGACAACAGACGCAGCAGGGGAATTTTGGTTTCTACGAGGACAAGCAAGGCTCCCAGAAGTCAGTGCAGAACACGCCGCACTTTTACCAGAACAAATCCCCTCAGGAGCCACAGAGGCACCGGCCCTACGGGCAGGGTCGAGGATTTGGACGCGGAGGAGGAGGCTTCAATCGCAGGGGCCAACAGAACCGAGAGCAGGGTCAGAGAGGACAATACCAGAACAGCAGAGAGAATAACCAGAGCGGGAATGCCTTCGGACAGTACTTTCACCCCTCCATGCTGGAGGATCCCTGGCGGGATCTAATGGAACGCCATGAGGCCATTCACGGACCCAGCACAAGCCAAACGCCAGCCAAGAAGGTGGAAGTTAACTAGAGCTGGCACCAACTCCGACTTGGTAGTTTTAAGGCGCTTACACATCTTGTTAAGTGTACAAAACTCTAGTTATTAAGACTTGAATAAATAACAGATAAAAACGATCGCTTTGATTGTAACTTTTTATACATATAAGCAACAGTTCCCAATAAATGAAACTCATGTGTACATTAAACTTTAAACTTAAGGCTACCGATTCCCCTGGGAGCTAAAAGTGCTGCTGCTGATGCTGCTTTCTCTCCAGATACTTTTCCCAATCGGCGGCAATTCGATTGTATATACCCATGGCGGCGCGGGCATCCTCCACGGAGTTGTGCTCTCCTGTCTGAATCTCTTGCCCCAAAACGACCATTGTCAGGCGCTTCAGACTGGGCGTATGGCCGTTGGAGACAAGCTTGCAGAGCGGCTTGTAGCGCGACGTATCGCGAATGAGTTCGAACGGATGTCGTATGTTCAGCACGGCAAGATCGTTGCGCAGGGCGTGCCCGACCAAAATCCGACCGTGCAGCAGCTTTACCACCTCATCCTGAACGACTTCAAAGTCCTCGCCATTGGCAATGTCATGCGGGCGAATGCCTGATACGCTGGTACGATAATCGGTGACCTCCTGGCGCGGCTTTACATGCTTGTCCAGCAGCACCTCGCCCACTCGGTTTACAATTGACACGCGGGCCAGCATATCATCATTCCCATTGTGGCCTACGCCGACCATTTCACAGTCCATGGCCAGATAGCGGTTACGCTGAGCCTTCTTTCGGATGCGCGTGCGTGCAGATTTCGTTAGCGCGGGAGATGTCTCTTCCGTGGACTGGTTTTCGCTTCCCGATGCGGCTCCAGGAGCGTTGGCAGCCGCGGCCATCCAGTTGGAGCCCGCTGCACGGCGACTCACGTTCGGTTGCTGCACCTGCAAGCGCTCCATCGATGTTTGACGTTTGCGCTGTCGCGGGGAAACCACATTTTTCGAACCGCCACTGTTGTTATTGTTGCCACTGTCGCTGGCAGGACTGTGCGCTTGGCCACTGGCTCCCCTGCGGTTCAGGTCGAACTGCTTCTGACGTTGTGTAGAGGACATGGTTCCTGGTCATCTATATATTCCTGGTCTATATATTCCACTTATGTATATATATTCCTTAATTGCTGATCAAAAATGTGTTATTTTGCCGTCGTTGGATGGTCTTAAGAATGTGTGACCGTTTCTAGCTGCAGCGACAATACTCCCACCAGAAGGTTTCAGTATTTACGGTATATGCTTTGGCTGAATAAAATATATATTTTATATAGTGAATTAAATAAATTAATTATTCCGCAACTTAATACGATTAATGATAAACAAAAATTAACGACAAATTCTGTGCAAAAGAAATTTGGAAAATATTTAAGTTTTCAGGAATGTCGTCATGGGAGGTGATTGAGCTGTAGTCAAAGTCAATCTAAAACTAAAAAAAAAAAAAAAAGAATAATATTAATTTTCGTTGATTTTTCCCCATTTCTTCTAAACAAACAATTTTTTTTAAATTAATATATTAAAATGATATTTAAATTTTCAAAAATACTGCATTGCCCCCGATAGTATTTATATTCGCAGACTTAGGATTACCGAAACACCGTTAAACGGTCATACTTAACCATTTTCACTATTTGTTTATATTACTGTTGCAATTTTGAAAATGTATGCATAATGCAATGTAGACTACAAACCTTCCTCGCCACGCCGTCACAGGTTGCACCACAGCCCCCCGGATTGAGTCAGTGCAGCGCCAGCAGCCCGAAAGCCGCATTCCTCACGTGTGCACCGTCCCATTTCAGAATTGATTTGTACGGGAACAAGCGGTGATTTTGCAAATAGGACCGGATAAAGCGCGACTGGAGAAGCAATCATGGCCGGCAGGGAAACCCAGATGCAATCCTTCCACACGCGTTGCGGCCGTTCTATACGGCTTTACAATGGCAACCGGTCGGCGCAGCGTTCCATGCGGGATTTCAGTCATGCTTTGGTGTTCAGCGCAGAGCCGCTGGAGGACGATGTGCTTTTCGAGGTGGTCATTGAGAAGAAGGTGAGTAAAAGATGACTTCCCGGGTGATCAATTTCTAATGCCTATACTTCAGAACACCTCCTGGGGCGGCAGCATTGAGATCGGAGTCACCGCCGAGTCGCCGGACGACTTGGAACTGGTGGCCTGTGCCACGGCCATGCGAAATGGTACTTGGGTCATGTCCGGCATCGATGTTCGGAAGGATGGGCGACGCCTATTCGAGTTCTATGGCACTGATTTGGAAACCCTGAATGAGAACGATCGTGTGGGCGTCATGCGCACCTCTGGCAATGATTTGGTGTTCTATGTGAACGGCGAGTCGCAAGGCGTGGCGGCCAAGAATATGCCCAAGCCACTGTGGGCGCTCGTGGATCTGTATGGGCGCTGTGTGCAGGTTTCGCTGTGTCCAAGGGATAGCAGTGGCTCCGGAGAGGTAACTATCAAACTAATCAGCAAGGATATCCCATTTATAAGAGCTATGTTTTTTTTTTCTCTTGAACAGCTTCTGGACTCACCCTTGCAGCAGCCTTTGCAACAGGTTGTTCAGAACCTGGACGTGGCCATGAACGTAAACATTGTCGTTGACTCCGACGGATGGATGCACGGCTCTGGCTCGGGTTCTGAGGATCGCCTTTGCTTTCACACCCGCTGTGGATCTCTGGTCAAGCTCTCTCCCAACTTCCGATCTGCCGAACGTCGCCGACCGTTGGACGAGTTCAACAATGGCGTGGTTATGACCCACCGACCGCTGCGAGACAATGAATTATTTGAGATACGAATCGACAAACTGGTGGACAAATGGTCTGGATCCATTGAAGTGGGCGTCACAACGCACAATCCAGCGGTGCTGCATTTTCCAGCCACCATGACGAATATGCGCTCGGGCACTATAATGATGTCAGGCTGCGGAATCCTCACCAACGGCAAGGGAACTCGCCGTCAATACGGCGAGTTTAATTTGGATGAGTTACGGGAAGGAGATCGCGTTGGAATGATGCGCAAGGCAAATGGCAACCTGCACAACTACATTAATGGCCAGGATCAGGGTGTCGCTGCCACCCGGGTGGCCTCCACCTTGTGGGGTGTCATTGATCTATATGGCATGACCATCAAAGTCACCATCGTGGACCGCGATGATCGTGAACAGCAGAATCTGGTGACCAGAAGGAACAACATTGTAGCGGGCATGGCAAGTGCGGCCTGCTCCAGTGGTGGTGGCTCTGGTGTCCAGCATTCGCAGCAGCAGCAGCAGCTGTCGGGGACTCCAACTTTAAGTCTTTTGAGTCCGGAGAGCGAGATGAATGTGGCTGGGGCAGCTGGCGGTCTAAGCGAAACTATATCCAGTACACGGGCCATAGCTAGGAACGATGATCGTTTGACCTTCCATCATATATGCGGCACTCATGCCACCGTTACCCAAAGCGGGCGTACGGCTCTAAGACCCAAGTGAGTGTGGGCTGGTATTTTGAAACCTTTGAAACTTTTTAAAATGCATTTCCTTTAGTGCTGCTGATGACTTTAACAACGGTGTGGTCCTCACACGTCGCCCCCTTCGTCCCAACGAACTCTTCCAGGTGCGACTCGAACGCGTGGTTACCAAGTGGGCGGGCTCCGTGGAAATGGGCGTGACCACGCACAGCGCCGATGAGCTGGACTTTCCCTTCACCATGACCAATGTTCGGTGAGTATTCTTAACCATCTCCTCCAAAGGTTGAATCAAGACAAAGGGCTCATCTTCAACAGTTCTGGCACCTGGATGATGACCGGCAATGGGGTCATGCAGAACGGCGTCACAGTTATCGAGCAATATGGCCAGAATTTGGATCGCCTGCAGGTGGGTGATCGTGTGGGCGTGGTTCGCAAGGATGACGGCACTGTCCACTTTTGGGTTAATGGTGTGGACCAGGGTCCGGCTGCCAGCAATGTCCCAGAGCGCGTTTACGGAGTCATCGATTTGTATGGCCAGGCGGCGCAGGCCAGCATTGTGGACACATCGGAGTGCGGGAGTCCGGATACCGGCAACTCTACCATCTCAAATACAACCTTGTACAGCGAGGTTCCCTTGCGCTTCCACAGCATCCATGGCGCCAATGCCGGGATTTCAAATAGTGGTCTGACAGCCTCGCGTCCCAATTCCCTGGCCGAGTTCAATGATGCCATTGTGTTTAGCAATCGTCCGCTGAGGCAGCGGGAACTCTTTGAAGTGGAGCTGGAAACTATGGTCCGGCATTGGTCGGGCAACATAGAGATTGGGGTGACGGGCACACGGCCGGAGGACATCCAGCTGGCACCAAATGCCACTGATTTGGAGGCCAATGATACCATCATTCTGTGCGGTCCCATGATCTTTCACAACCGCAAGACCATACGCACCAATATCCTACTGGATCTGGACACCTTAGGTCCCAGCACCAGGGTGGGCGTGATGCGAAATGGTGACTTTATCCACTTCTTTGTGGATGGTATGGACCAGGGACCGGCTTGTGAATGCCATGCACCGAATATCTGGGCCATTATCGATCTGTATGGGCAGTGCGCCCAGGTGAGTCTCACGCAGACACAGTTGGACATCCGGGCGCCGTATGCCACCAGCGAGAATTCGCAGAGCTGTCAGGCCACCTCGGTTATTCAGCATCCAGCAATGGAGACCAAGCATCGCTGGACTTGCGTATCAGGTAATGTCAGCCTCACCAAGGACTGGACGGAAGCCTCTAGGTTTACTGGAGCAGCGGCACCGTTGTCCCACTGTCTGGTCTTCTCGGAACATCCGCTCAGCGTGGGTTCTCCCTTTGAGATTAAGCTGACATCGATTAATCCCATGTTTGCGGGTAAGTTTCACTTGCTTCGCTAACCTATTATATTTTTACATTTATTTTGAACCCAAAATCATAGTTATACATCATCTATCCCCTCACAGGCTGCCTCAGCATCGGCGTAACCGATCTTAACTTGAGCGACGAGAGCGTGCGCAAGAAGCTGCCCACCAGCCTGCGACGGATTCCGGCCAATGTCTGGTATGTCAGTGGGAACGAGGTACGCTTCAACTCGAGCTGCCTGCAGCGCTCATTGGCTTCGCTGGAGTGGCTAAGAGTGGACGATAGGATTACTTTAGAGCGAGTAGAAAATTCCCTAAACATGCTGCTAAATTCGGAGAACGTCAACATCCAGTTCCACAACGTGCCCAACGATGTCTATGTGGTGGCGGAGCTGAGAGGATCTACAATGGGTATTCAGGTGATATCAGCCCAAGGTCCAGCATCGCCTCTAAGGCCCTGCAGTCTACGGCTGCAGGACTCCATGGACTTTGGCATGGATCCACTGAACAAGCAGGATAGCTCAATGTTGGAGTCCATTGATTCCGAAGCACAAAACTATGAGTTTGTGGACGTGGCACAGAAGAATGCCCGACTGACCGAGGATCGAAGGAGTATAGCCAGAATCAAGTCGTATAATCAGGCTATTGTTTGCCTCAATAAGCCCCTGTGCAAGGGCGAAAGCATCAGCATCAAGGTTGATGGCTTGAATAACAAGTGGAAGGGTACCCTAGGCCTGGGTGTGCTGTCTTCCACTCCGCAGTCTGTGCCCGTTTCCCTGCTGGACTTCAAACGAGGCTGCTGGCTGGCCACCCACGACTATGTAAATGTCAATGGCCAGGTGATGGCTTCTAAATACGGCGAGGCTCTAGACCAGATTCAGATGGGTACAGTCATCACTTTGACCCTCACCCATGCCGGAATGTTAAGTAAGTTAATTTTAGGAGATTATGAGTTGGGTTATAACACTTTTTTTTATAGTTATCATGGTTGGCTCCACCAATCTTGAGGATTTGGCCAGTGGCCTACCCAACCATGTTTATCCAGTCTTTGATGTGTACGGCAAATGCGAGAAAATAACTTTGATAACAGGCAGTGATGCTGGACGCACTGGCAATGCCAATGGCACCCCCATTTTGGAGGCTCCTGAGGCCTTGGAGCTGGACAATGGAATGCCACAGCAGTGCGAAAAGGCGCATCTTGAGATGCATGAGAAGGAGAAGGACACAGAGCAAGTGTGCGAAATTTCAGCCAGGGATGGTCCTTCCACCTCCGGTGCTCAATCGAATGCCATGTAAGTGATTTTATATTAATTTTATATATTGTATATTATATTTTTTCTATTTATATTTCCTAATGAATTCAATGGCCTTAGGACCCGTTCGGTTATGGAAAGCGTTTCTGAGAACTTGCTGCTTAATATTTCCATTAAGAATCGAACTCTAGAGCAGCAGCGCAATGACCTAGGAGGATCCTCTTCAACCTGGTGAGTTGATATTGTCGATGTCGTTACTACTGTATTTTCAATCTCTGTGCTTCTTTCTCACCCACAGTTGCCTTCGCGAATCCCTCCAGCTGCAGCACAATACCAATTTGAATATACAACGCAGCCAAAGCACCCAGAGATTCCAGAACTCATTAAACACTTCAGCAACGGCAGCGGGGAGTAGCTCCAATGTCAATGTCCAGCATCTGAGCAATTCCGCTGTGTATGACACGAACAAGGAGTACGATGAGCTGCCCAATCCCCCTATAACTACGGCAAACTCGGTAGATGAACCTCCAGGAGCCACCGCCTCCGCCGTCATGGTAAGCACAACGAACGATCAAACCGAGAACAATGCAGCGGCGGCAGCGTTGGAGCTGAGTACCAGCAACGAACGCGAAGCGTCTGGCGAGCCAGCAACCAACGACAATGTCCTGGAGGACGACGAGATCGACTATATGAATCACCTGCTCTTGCTGCAGCAACTGCAACAGAACGAGTATACGCGCCATCACCTTATGCCTGACCAGGCATCGCTACTAAATCTCGATCTGCCGTCGCTCAACTCCCTGGAATCGGACACGAATTCGGCCGGGCAGGTGCGCTCGGGTGGAGGAGCCGACTCGCTGCGCTCAACAGAGCAAAACGACTGCGAATATCTGCGGCAGGTGAGACGCTTCTGTGCCTCACTGGTTCTCCCCCAAGCCTTCTTTGACAGCCGCCTGGAGCCGGTGTGCTTCTGCCTGAAGTGCAGCGGTCCAAGCAACAATGGCGGCAATGGGGATAAACTGGAGGGCTGGGTGTACTTTAAGCTCAATCAGCAGACAGTCAATGTGCTGAGCACCTCCGCAACGACGGCACCGGCGGCGGGCAGCGGTGTTTCCTCATCGGCAGTTCCCCAAGTCCACTTTGATTTGAATGGCGACTGGCTGCCCTTCTATTACATGACACGGGTGGACAAGATACGAGCCATATTGGATCGGGGTCAGCCGCTGCCGCTGGAAACAGATCCAGACGAAGAACCGGTTGCTGCGGCTTTAAAGGATGAGCCGGGCACCCGTTTGGAGCTGTACTACTCACCCAATGCCACCGTCATTGAGCCGGTTTTGCCGCAACATCATTTTGCCTCCGAGCAGGGCCTGCATCGCATCTCCACCTCCTTTGAGGTCTACGTTCGTCGCCAGTCCATCTCGGGCGTAACTACGGGCAAAGCAGCAGCCGAAGCCAAGCGGCGCAGTCTGGGTTCTGGAGATCATGACAATAGCAGTGCCGTTCAGGGGGTAGAAGGTGCGGGCGCCACTTCATCGGCCGCCCTCAACGAGTCGTCCGTACATCTCCTGAACGATCTTTGCTGGTTCACCAAAGAGGCCGGCGCCTGCATAATCAACGCTTTGATAATTAAGCTGGACAGAATGGAGGATCAGGAATCTCATTGAGCACACGACGACAACAACGCATCCACACTAGTCCACGGCCTATAATCCCCACATTATAATCACGCTTAGCAGCTAGCCACACCAAAACGCATTCGCATTCCCCTTTGTAAACGGATTTTTATTGTATTGCAAAGTTAAAGAAGAAACTTAGAAATGAATTGAGCAAAAAAATCACAAAAAAATGTATTTTCTTGTTTATTAAATTCTTGGGCAAAATTTGGGTTAAAGACTGGAATCCCTACCAAGCTGAAAATATGACATTCATAGTTTTGAATTCACATTTTTTCAGCAAAAAGTTAAAATTCGTTAACTAACCTTTGAAAAATGCTGCTAAAGCTTCTTTTAGTTTTAGGTTTTCAGCTAACAATCCCTTTATAAAAATGAAATAACTATAAGTTTCAAATTGGAATCATCATAGTTTTTATTTGATTATTTGAATTCCATTCTTTTAGTGTCGCTTGGTTGGTTGTTATTCAAATATATGAAAAATGGTCGATTAGAAATTGGTTTAGGTTTGTTTGTTTTTACTTCTTCTCGTTTTTGCATTGTCCACTCGGCAAGCAGCAGCAGCAGCAGCAGTAGGTGTGTTCCACTCCCTTCCCTTTCACTCCTCCGTTTTTGTTCTACTATTTATCGTTCCTTCTCCTCACATCCTTCTCTTCTGGATCCACCCAGCGGCTGCATTTGCTTCTAATCGAATTAATCTTACGCTAGTTACGATTGGTTGGTTGAATTTTCGCATTTTGCTGTTTGATTTTGTTGGTTTCTCGTTTACTCTGCTAGTCCTGAAGCCAGTGGTGGTGCATATACAAAGGTCGTTTCTCATATATGTTTACCGTTTAAGTTATCGTAATTATTATTATTATTATTATCATTAACGTTAGGCCAATACCGCGGATAGCCGGACAACCGGGTTGACGGGAGGGGAGCCGTAGCTCACTCCACATCCATGGAGGGATCGTTGCCTGCCGCACTCTGCGCATTGTTATCCACATCCATTTTATCGCCCTTTGTCGGCTCGCCGCCATTCTGTTCCGCATTGGCCTCTCCGTCCTTGGGCGGTGTTGCCGTTTTGGGAGCCGGTTTCGGTTTCGCCCGGTTAATCACCGAGCTAACGCATGCATTTAGTGTTTGGACTTCATGGCGCACGGCGGAAACCTGAACGGGACTGTCGGCGGTGCGCGGCGACTGTGCGAACTTGGATAGATGAGTGTCCAGCCACTTTTGCGCCTTGTCCGCCGTCTCCGAGATGTTGATGAACTCGGTTTCCGTTAGATGATCGTACTTGGGCACACCCTTGCGGAACTCGGCCACCGCCAAGCGTGCAATGGCAATGCTGCCCTTCAGCTCCTCGAAGACAGCCGGGCACAGTTCATAGTCGTTGGCGCGCACCTTGATGGGATCCGTCTTCTGATGTAGGGCCTGCAGGCGGCTGGTGTAAGTCTCGCGCTCGCAGTCCTCGCCATCCTCGTATAGCCAGTTTTCGAGATCATTCAACTGGGCCACAATAGCCTCGCGCTCCGACTCCACCACGAATCGCTCCAAAGGTCCGTCCTGCAAAGTACAAGCAAGGGATTTTATTATAACTATTTCGAGTGAACAAATAAATTTTTACTTTTTGTTTGAAATTTTTATTATTATTATTTTTAGTTTATTTTAAGTTTTATTTTTTATTATTTTTATTTGTATTTTTTTTATTATTATTTTTTGTTTATTATTATTTTTTGTTTATTATTATTTAAAAAAATTTTTTTTTTTAATTATTTTTCAAAATTATTTCTATTAATTTATTGTAATTTCAGATTTTTTTTCAATTGAACTTTTTTTAAATATATTTTTTTTATTTTATTATATTTTTTTATTTTATTATATTCTTTTATTTTATTATATTTTTTATGTAATTTTATTTTTTTTTTTTTTTATTTATTTATTATAATTTAGGAATCCCGAGGTCACAATTCTTACCTGCAGCTTATTGCGCATATCGTACACAAACTCTTCCAAGGCATTTTTGGCATCGATGCGTTCCGTCTCCCTTTGATCGTTTCCAATCATTTTCGACTCCTGCTGTGTATAGTTGCCCAGATCAATGGGGCTGAAGCCGTGGGTGGTGCACTCCAGGGGCAGTTCGGTGGCCTTGGAGGCCTTCTTCTTCTTATCCGTGCCCTAAGCAGCGAAAAAGAGATACAAACAATTGATTAATATTTAAAATTCAACTATAACTGGGGCATAGAAAATCAATTCAATTCAATTTATCCCAATAGGAAACGGAAATTGGAGCAGCAACAATGTGACACACACATCAACAATAAAGCGAAGAGGAAAAACAGCTCCAAGCGACAGCCTACAATATGAGTAGCACAAGGAATTTCTTGGGTGTTGTAGGGGTTTGTATAACAGTTCATACTAAAAAAACACTTGTGGCAAATTTGTTGTTTAATTTTGAATTTTGAACAAGGGGCGCGCATTGTTTTCTCAGGTATTTTATTATTATTTTTTTTTTTTTTGAAACAAATAATAACAGAAAATGTATTTTTGTGGAAATAATAAATCAATTTGCAAATTGTGTAAGCTTGTTGAATTACTTTTTACGTTGGGAGCACATAGGGTAGGCGGCTTATGAGCGGTCTTCTTCATTCGTTTCATTTTTGGTGGAAATGAGAGAGATGTAGACTCGAAAATTTGAAAAGCCACACATTTTGTTTGTTGTTTTTTAATTGTGTGCTTTAAATTTAGGTTCTCTTCACTCTCTTTCGTTAATTAAAAATTTCCAATTTCTTGACACACAAATTGTTTGGGAACAAAGAATTTACATTATTTGGTGTATTTTTTTTGTTATAATTTGTATTTTCTTTTGCTTTTGAATTGAAATTTGAGAAATTGTGGAAAACGTACCGAACTAAACCAGCCCTTGACCCGCTGTGCCCACCCTTGTCCGCCAGGTGATGAGGCTGTTGATGTATTATTATCATCCTCATTCTCACAATATGCCTACGAGAGATCAAAACGCGCCCGTTCGCAAGCAAACATATCCAAAACAAACAAACGAAAACAAATATTGGAGTGGTATATTTATATATAAATATATATATATATATATATATATATATATATATATATATGAGTGATTTATATCAAAGACACATCCATATGTGTCTGTATAAACACTAGTGCGATACAGCCCCGGTTTTCACATGTCCGTTTATGGGTAAAACAATCAATTAATTTGATTCGAGCAATTTATGGCCTCTGGCAGACTGGGCCAGATTTATAAATTTAATTTTAAACTCAACTAGAGTTGCAAACATTGAAAACCGGGGCTTTTATTTTGAAATTTTAATTTTAAATTTAATTTAAATTTTAATTAGTCGATAAATGCGAATCGGCTTCAAGATTGTCCTAATTAAGTTAACCTAATCAATATTAATTGAGATGATGGGCAAGCACCTAAGAAACTACATAGACCAACAGAAAAAACAGCTAAATTATAAAAGGGGTTAATGCTAAAAAAATCACACAAAAGGAACGACTTTTGTTTGGCAAAAAATATTTATAAAACTTTAGTAATAGCTAAAAATATTGGTAAAATATCAAAACAATAAAAAATGGCTAGTGGTTAAAATTAGCCGCGAAAAATGTAAAAAACACGACTCTTGCTTGCTACAAATTATGTATGCAAACTTTACTAAAATCTAAAAATGTTATTAAAATTACGAAAAAAAAAAATAAATAAAATAAATTTTAAAAAATTGCAAGTGCCCAAATTTAGACGCAAAAATGTACAATGTAACCATATGCGTTGTTTAATTTCTGTCCAAGTGCTGGCTTATACAAAACTTAAAAGCAGACGAACTGTTGAAGACGTTTTTTGTGAACATTTATTCTCAATTACTCTAGATCTGTGCGCACGCTTACGCACTTCTTTCGTCTGTTTATAAGGACACACAGAAGAGAAGAACTTTACTTTCTGAACTTTGTGATAGCCAGAGAAGTGCTTATATAGCTGATATATGGCAATTGTATGGGCATTAAGCATCTTGTTATTAAAAAGCCTTAGAAAATCTATTATCATCGTGTAAATTTAAGCTTTTTTAACCTTTAATAAAAACAAAATAAATTTAATATTCTGTGGTTAGTAAAACTCTAAGAATTTAAAAATTATCAACAGCATATAAATATGCCTTCCTACAGAAAAATTATAAAAAAAAAAAAAGGATGAGACTTTGAACAGGTGACTAATGACAGAACCAAAAAAAAATTATAGATGACAAACAGCAGATCAATGCCTATCCACAACACAAGATTATGATGAGACTGTGAGCTGGTTAAATGACTGATGGCGGACTCACCTCCTGCTGGCCGTCCGTGGGTTCACCGGCAGCATTGGCTCCTCCGGCCTGCTCGGCTAGCTTCTCCTCGCTGGCAGCCTGCTCAGCAGCTGCAGCCTCTTCTGCCTCCTTCTTTTCCACCAAGGTGGCCGAGGAGATCAACACGATGCCATTGTTGTTAATGCGCACCTTCAGCTTAACATCCTGGCCCTCACCGCGCTCCGTCGGCTTCACATCCTTGATCTTCCACACACCAATCGTTTGATCCGGATATGGCACTTGCTGTCCATAAACAATCGAAACGTTGAACGGTCCCTTGCGGTTGATGGTCAGCAGGCGGCTGAACGGCGACGCATGGAACTGCGGAAAGATCTCAATTTCTCCGGGAGCGGCAGAGCCCTCACTGTCCCAGAGCACCTTAACAGCATAATTTTGTATGTCTGTGACGCCAAACTCGCGAACGCGTACCGCCGGCGACATAATGGCGCACTGTAGAGCAGCACCACGGGAAACAGCCTCGTCCTGGTTCAGAGTAGTGCTGGCCGGCTTGTTGAAGACCTAAGGAAGACATTCAAATTGTTGTAGATCATAGAAAAGTTGTTTATGAGTGCGTAACTCACCTGTTCGATAAGCTGCTTTACGGCTGGAATGCGCGAGCTGCCACCAACAATCTCCACCGAGTGGATGTCATCCAGCTGCAGCTTGGACTCGGCCAGGAGGCGCTTGAACGTCTGCTCGACGCGCTGGAAAACGGGAGCGCAAAGCTCCTCCATCTGCGAACGCTGCATGGAGGACGAGACATCGATGTCCTCCAGGAAACATTCAATGTTCAGCGGCAGCTTTGTGCTGTTGGCGGACATCTGCTTCTTTAGCTTCTCGATCTCGGTGAGCAAACGCAGATTGGCACGGGCATTGGTCTTTGAGTTGATCTTGTAGCGCTCCTGGAACTCCTTCGAGAAGTAGTCGGCCAAGGCAAGGTCGATGTCCCGACCGCCGATCTGGTCCCAGGTGCTGGCCAGCATCTTAAGCTTGCCCTTGGTGAAGGTACAGGCACTGACCTGCAGTGCCGAATGCCCAAAGTCCACGAAGATCACGTTGCGCGGCTTATCCTCGAACAGGTCGTTCTTGTAGAAGCCATAGGACAGCGCCGTGGCCGTCGTCTCGTTCATCAGCCGCAGAACGTTAAGTCCAGCGATCTGGGCAGCGTCCAGGAGGGCTCGGCGCTCTGCGTTGGTGAAGAACGCGGGACAGGCGATAACGCAGTCGTTAACCTGCGTCTGCATTGCGGCCGCCGATGTCTCCTTCAGCTTGGTGAAGAGCATCGCCGTCAGCTGCTCCGGTCCAAAGTGCTTATCCTCCCCCAGGTAGTTCACCTTGATGCCGATACTGCCATCGCCGCGCGCCTCCACGCGCGCTGGAATGCTCGTGAGTTCGTGTTGTACATGGGGATCGTTGAATTTACGGCCGAGAAGGCGCTTGAATCCGCCAACTGTGTTTTTCATGTTTGTCACCTGCTGATTCTTGGCGGCCACGCCAATGATACGTTTCTTTCCATCGAAGGCCACAAAGGAGCTGCAAAAAGTAAGTAACAAATTATGGATTAGCTCAACTGGACAGATAATACTAAATATGGATAATAAAGATAGTCAATCAGGTTTAAGTAAGTACAGTGGAAAGCGAATAAAATTTTGAATAAAGTCGTGTAAAATATGAAAAAGTTTTTAGATTATAATTGTTTCTATAAATTTTAATTTGCAAAATTGCAAAAAATTTTAATTAGAAAATTTCTTTTCAAAACTTAAATAATACAATTTGAGAATTATACCAGAATTATTCATAATTCTGTGGGCGTATGAAAATCAAATTAAATAAAAAAAATTCCTTAAACGGTTGCCCAACATATGCGGGCTCCACTGTGTCTGTATTTGCCAGTCTGTTCTTATGTGTGCTGTCTGTGTTTGCCGGCTTTGGATTTATTTTTGACAGCTTTGCACGTTTTTTTCCCTTTGCCGTATCTCTGCTTTATTGCTCTCTTTCGCTTTTCACAACAGCTGCTGGCTGCTGGCTCTCGCCTCTCACCTTTGATGCTGCCTTTTTGACCGCATGACGCATGCAGCGGCCGCTTTTTGCATGTGTGTGCGAGTGAGTGTGCCAAAAAAGTAAATTCGGACAAGTACAGAAAGTGGAAATCGGAATCCCACGCATTTAAATCAAAGGCATACAGGCACCCATACAGGCGGCCGACTTGTGTTTTTAGGCAGGGCAATAAATTGGAGAAGAGAGATGACGAGAGAGGTGCGTTGCTCGTTGAAATTGCAATTTGCAACACTTTTTATGGAAGTGCAAAATTTAGGCCGCCACAACCAAATACATAATGTATCACAAATATGTATCAGACTGGGCTGGATACACGTTTGTTTTTCGGAGCGTACCCATAACAACCATGGAATTTTCTAGGCGCGCTCTCTTACAGACACACACACACACACACACACACACAGACGCGAGGCATGACTTACAAACTCGACATAACCTCAAATGGTAAAAAGTCGAACGATTATGCACACGGCGAGCTTATCAACATAACTGGGCCAATAGGGGGCCCGGATAACATAACCCGGAGTACTTACGGCGTGGCCCGGAGACTGTAGTCGTTGGCCAGCGTCTCGATGCCGCCGGACCTGGCCGCCGCCACATAGCAGCCCTCGTTGCCAAAATCGATGCCAATCACGGACATTTTCTGTGCCTCCTTGTCGTCTGGCCGCTTTTCCAATTAAATTAATTTAGTGGTGTTGTAGCTTGTTTCAGATTCGGGGGGCGGAACAACGCGATCGCTCAGTTTTCTTTGTTTTCCAGCAACTGATACTGCAAAATATATGTGTACCCAGATAGAGAGACGGGAATTAGATAAAATATGTACTAAACACTCAGGCACGCACGTGTCGGCTGGCTATATGGTCTTTTTGTTTGACAATTAAGTCCAGAACGTTCGATTCGATATATGCTTTTTCACATTCACATTAATTATGGATTTCGGTTTTCGCCTGAGAATGGAAATTTCTAGCGTCCGGCCTTCGATCTTCCTTCTCGCTTGCACGCGCAAACACCGCAAGCAAGGGAAAAACTTTATCGCTAAACCGATTTTCACCCAGTTTATCAGTTATTGATTGTAGGGGAATTAGTTACGCACGTTTTCGCTGATAATGGGCAAAACACCTCTTGGTTCACGGTAAATCTAGCAATTTTAATTCGACACCGCACGTTTTTTTCTAATTTGTGTTCGCAATATGACCGTTGTATGAAATGGGCATAAAACAGAGTTATCGAAAGTTTTATAACAAAAAATACCGACATGTTTTTTATATTAAAATAGCAGTATTTTCTTTGGTGCGGCCACACTACTCAACAAAAGAAAATAGCAAATATTTAAATTATTTTAAAATGGAGTGATTTAACTTTCTAAAATATAAGACATTTTATGGCTTACTTTAAAATCCTTGGAAAATTATTCTTGTGTTTTATATTTTATTTGAATTTTTGAAGAAAATGCAGTACTGTTATATATTTAATAAAAATACTTAATAATTTAATATTTAATACAAAATACCCGATGCACTTGTAGTTCGATTACATATGTCTTTGTACAACACTAAAACTGTCAATCGAATAGAAGTTAGAATTGACTCGCCCGCAAGCATATGCGTATTATTTAAATTTAATCATGAAAATATCAAGTGCAAAGAATTTACCGGAGGAACAAGGCGGATCTTCGCAAGGGTCATTTATTGACACCAATTCTGTAAGACATATTTGCGTAGTTAATCCCCAAAAACCTAATATCGAATTTCAGATCAGCGGCGACTCGGACATAGACGCTGCTAGTGTAGCGGGTGATCGAAATCAGATGATTGAAGAACTAAAGAAAACGATAAAGGGGAATCACAGCCAAATCTCGGAACTCGAGGGTAAATTGAAAGTTACTGAAATACAATTAGAGTGTCAGAAAGATAAAGTCAAGGACAAGGACGAGGTAATTAGAGTACTGCAAAACTCTATTGACCTGATCACAAAAACAAGTGAACTAGCAATAAAACAATTGCAGAAGTCCGAAGCTGAAGTTGTCACTTGTAATAATGGTAATAATTTGCAAAAAGAGAATGATTCACTCGAATCTATAGATGAAATGAAATCAAAAGTTAAAGAAAATAATGTGGACAATTTCGGAGCTCAGGAATTGCAGGAATCGAAATGCCAAGCCAAAGAAGATTCTGCTGATTCCCACGAAGTGGACGATAATTTAGAGAAATTCCAGGAACAATTTGATAAATACAAAGAACAAAATGAGTCACTAGAGTTGAAAAATTCTCAAATGAAGCTCGAACTTGACGAATTGAAATCTAAAATGATTAAATCCCAAAAGATTGAAGATAGTCTAAGGAAGCAAGTTTCTGAACTAGAAAATAATTTCCTCGGCGTTTCTGCTAAACTCAAGGAAAGTAGTCAAAAACTCGCTGATAGTGTTCCAAACAAGCAAGAAGCCGTGCCTCTAAATAATACCAAAAATCCAAAAATGAAAGTAATTGAACAAGATGGCATGGAGCCCTTTATGGCGGTGATTGAGGATATTCCCTCGGCTTGGTCATCCGGTTGGATAGTTATTCAACGGCGTATCAATGGAAACTCAAGTTTGTCTGCAAAAAGAACTGATTTTGAAAATGGATTTGGGAATACAAACGCAAGCTTTTGGCTTGGCTTAAACCTAATACACAAATTAACAAAAAGCCAACGGCATGAGTTATACATTCAAGTTGTGGATCACGATGACGTAACTGCATATGCAAGGTATGATCACTTTGAAGTTGGAAGTAAGAAGGAAGAATACAAGATCAAGTCTCTTGGTTCATATTCGGGAAACGCTGGCGATGCTTTCCGGAGTCTTGAGAACGCTCCTATTAAGGCTTGGGATTGCGGAACTACATACAGTTATTCCTGGTGGGAAGCCACACCGATGAATTGGTAAGCAAATAAGAATGATTTTTATTTTCAAAATAATAATATAGAATTTTATTTTATTAATTATTTTTACATTTACTCATTTAGCAACTTGAACGGTATGTATAATACACCGCAGAAGTACGGATTTTATTGGGGCCGCTTGTCTCTGGGGAATAAGGAATGTCATCTAAAGTCCTGTCAAATGTTGATAAGGCCAAGAAGCAAGTAATCCTAATATTTGACCCACAAATTTTCTAACAAGTTAAGTTGAATGTTTTTGATAAGTTAAATTGTCCCCAGTGGCTTTCAACAACCAATGTGCCACGGTCAATGTGAACCTGCTTAAGTTTAATTTACGATAAATAAGATTTAAAAACCTATTTCTATGAAAGAAACTGTTAAATTAAGAAAAAAAACAACATCTTTAATTTGTACTTCATAAAGAGGATACATCCATTAAATTTCGAATAAATCGAATGAGTTCGAATAAGTCCCTAAGCGAATATGTTTAAAAACCATGAAGTTATAATTTTTGTTCCATTCATCCAAGAAAATAAACTTAAAAAAGATTAAATTTTATTTGTCTAATTAAATTTCCAATTATAATAAAATATTCTAGCCAACGTAATTTTCAATTTAAAAATCGGTCACACCTTGAATTTAAAAACAAATACATAGTTAAGCTGGTGCACTAAAATGGAGAATGTGTTACAAAAGCGTTAGCCACTTCCCGCTTAGCAAAATTGATTCATCTGTTATTTGGCACCGGATCCGCCAGCGTCTCCTCGATCAAGAGCGGCGAGCTCCAGCGCATCAGGAAGTACGCGGAACCAGACTTGTCATTCGTCCCGGACAACCGGTTGCCGCCGAAGGGCGTCAATCCAAGGTGGCTGCCAGTGCAGCGTTCGTTCACATAGAGATTGCTGGCCGACATGCGCAGCTGGTTGAGACAGTGAAGAATCACCTCGTCCCGCTTGGCGAATATGGATCCGGAGAGAGCATATCTGGACTGGTTGGCGGTCAGCTTGAGGGCATCTGCGAATGAGTCGTCCGGGTAGACAAAGACCGGCAAAAAGGGTCCGACAAAGGGTTTGCTTAGCAGCGGGTCCAATGGATCGTCCACCCTGACTATCGTCGGCTGGACAAACCTTCCTATGGTGTCGTCGTTGTATTAAAATACCAGTACTTTCTTTGGTGCGGCCACACTACTCATCGAAGGAAAATACCAAATATTTAAATTATTTTAAATATTTTAAATTTGAGTGATTTAGCTTTCTAGAATATAAGACATTATAGGGCTTACTTTAACATGCTTAGAAAACTATTCTTGGGTATTTATTTTTCTTTGACTTAATGAAGAAAATGCAGCACTGTCAGAATATTCATCGAAAAAATACCCGATGCACTTATAGTTCGATTACATATGTAAGTCGTTGTACAACACTAAAACGTGTCAATCGAAGTAAGAAATTGCAATTGAAATATTTAAACATGAAAATATCAAGTGCAAACAAATTACCGGAGGAACAAGGCGGATCTTCGCAAGGGTCACTTATTGACACTAATTCTATAAGACATATTTGCATAGTTTATCCCCAAAAACCTAATTTCGAATTTCAGATCAGCGGCGAGTCGGACATAGACGCTGCTAGTGCAGCGGGTGATCAAAATCAGGTGATTGGAGAACTAAAGAAAACGATTAAAGAGAAACAAAGCCAAATCTCGGAACTCGAGGGCAGATTGAAAGTTACTGAAATACAATTAGAGTGTCAGAAGGATAAAATCAACTTATACGAAGTTATAGTCAAGGACAAGGACGATGTAATTAGAGTACTGCAAAACTCAATCGACCTGATCACAAAAACAAGTGAACTAGCAATCAAACAATTGCAGAAGCCCGAGGCGGGAATTGTCAGTTGTAATAATGCTAATAATTTGCAACAAGAAAATGATTTACTGGAATCTATAGATGAAATGAAATCAAAAGTTAAAGAAAATAGTGTGGACAATTCCGAAGCTCAGCTGCAGGAATTCGAATGCCAAGCCAATGAAGATTCTGCTGATTCCCACGAAGTGGACTATAATTTAGATAAATTCCAGGAACAACTTGATAAATGCAAGGAAGAAAATGAGTTATTAGAGTTGAAAAATTCTCAACAGAAGCTCGAACTTGACGAATTGAAATCTAAAATGATTGAATTTCAAAAGATTGAAGAGGGTCTAAGGAAGCAAGTTTCTGAACTAGAAAATAATTTTCTCAGCGTTTCTGCTAAACTCAAGGAAAGTAGTGAAAAACTGGCTGAGTATAGCTTAAACATTGATAGCTCTTCAGACAAGCAAGAAATCGTGCTGCTAAATAATTCCAAAAATCCAAAAGTGAAGTTAATTGAACGAGATGGCTTGGAGCCCTTTATATCGGTGATTGAGGATATTCCGTCGGCTGGGTCCGGTTGGATAGTTATTCAACGACGTATCGATGGAAAGTCAAGGTTGTTTGCAAATGGTAAAGATGTTTTTGAAAATGGATTTGGGGATACAAACGCAAGCTTTTGGCTTGGCTTAAACCTAATACATAAATTAACAACAAGCCAACGACATGAGTTATACATTCAAGTTGTGGATTGCGATGACGTAACAGCTTATGCTAGGTATGATCACTTTGAAATTGGAAGTAAAGAGGAAAACTACAAGATAAAGTCTCTTGGTTCATATTCGGGAAACGCTGGCGATGCCTTCCGAAGTCTTGAGAACGCTCCTATTGAGACTTGGGAGTTTACTGATGGATACAGTTATTCCTGGTGGGGAGCCACACCGACGAATTGGTAAGCAAATAAGAAGGATCAATATTTTCAAAATAATAATAAATAATTTTATTTTATTACTTATTTTTACATTTACTCATTTAGCAACTTGAACGGTTATCATAATTACTTGAGCGAGTACCGATTTTATTGGGGCCGTTTGTCTCTGGGGAATAAGGAATGTCATCTAAAGTCCTGTCAAATGTTGATAAGGCCAAAAACAAAGTAATCCAAATATTTGACTCACAAATTTTATAACAATTATTCGCAGTAATTATGCATAAGTCTTATAAATGTTTCAAGTTAAGTTAATGTGCCACTGTCAATGTGAACCTGCTTAAGTGTAATCTATGATAAATAAGATTCAAAAACTATTGTTATGAAATAAGCGGTTAAATTAAGAAAAAAAAAAACATCTTTAATTTGTACTTCATAAAGAGAAAACATCCATTAAATTTAGAATAAGTCGAATGAGTTCGAATAAGTCCTTAAGCAAATATGTTTAAAAACCATAAAGTTTTAATTTTTGTTCCATTTATCCAAGAAAATAAACTTAAAAAAGATTAAATTTTATTTGTCTAATTAAATTTCTAATTATAATAAAATATTCTAGCCAACGTAATTTTCAATCTAAAAATCGGTCACACCTTGAATTTAAAAACAAATAGTTAAGCTGGTGCACTAAAATGGAGAATGTGTTACAAAAGCGTTAGCCACTTCCCGCTTAGCAAAGTTGATTTACTATTATCTGTTATTCCGGACGGGATCCGCCACCGTCTCCTCGATCAGCAGCGGGGAGCTCCAGCGCATCAGGAAGTACGCGGAACCGGACTTGTCATTCGTCCCGGACAATCGGTTGCCGCCGAAGGGCGTCAATCCCAGGTGGCTGCCAGTGCAGCGTTCGTTCACATAGAGATTGCTGGCCGACATGCGCAGCTGGTTGAGGCAGTGAAGGATCACCTCGTCCCGCTTGGCGAATATGGATCCGGAGAGAGCATATCTGGACTGGTTGGCGGTCAGCTTGAGGGCATCTGCGAATGAGTTGTCCGGGTAGACGAACACCGGCAAAAAGGGTCCAACAAAGGGTTCGCTCAGCAGCGGGTCCAGTGGATCGTCCACTCTGACTATCGTCGGCTGGACGAACCTTCCTATGGTGTCGTCGTTGTATTAAAATACCAGTATTTTCTTTGGTGCGGCCACACTACTCATCGAAGGAAATTAGCAAATATATAAATTATTTTAAATATTTTAAATTTGAGTGATTTAGCTTTCTAGAATATAAGACATTTTAGGGCTTACTTTAATATTTTTAGAAAAATATTCTTGTGTTTTTATTTTTACTTGAATTTTTGAAGAAAATACAGTACTGTCAGAGTATTCACGAAAAATACCCGATGCACTTATAGTTCGATTACATATGTAAGTCTTTGTAAACACTAAATCGTTTCAATCGAATAGAAGTGAGAATTGCCAGCGAGCCAAGCATATTTAATATTATTTAAACATGAAAATATCAAGTGCAAACAATTTACCGGAGGAACTCAGCGGATCTTCGCAAGGGTCGTTTATTGACACCAATTCTGTAAGACATATTTGCACAGTTTATCCCAAAAAACCTAATTTCGAATTTCAGATCAGCGGCGACTCGGACATAGACGCTGCTAGTGCAGCCGGTGATCAAAATCAGGTGATTGGAGAACTAAAGAAAACGATTAAAGAGAATCAAAGACAAATCTCGGAACTCGAGGGCAGATTGAATGTTACTGAAATACAATTAGAGTGCCAGAAGGATAAAGTCAAGGACAAGGACGAGGTAATTAGAGTATTGCAAAACTCAATCGAACTGATCACAAAAACAAGTGAACTAGCAATTAAAGAATTGCAAAAGTCCGAAGCAGTCGCTTGTAATAATGGTAGTCATTTACAAAAAGAAAATGATTTACTCGAATCTATAGATGAAATCAAATCAAAAGTTAAAGATAATAATGTGGACAATTTCGGAGCTCAGCTGCAGGAATTCGAATGTCAAGCCAAACAAGATTCTGCTGATTCCCACGAAGTGGACGATAATTTAGAGAAATTCCAAGAACAACTTGATAAATGCAAAAAACAAAATGAGTTATTAGAGTTGAAAAATTCTCAACTAAAGGTCGAACTTGACGAATTGAAATCTAAAATGATTGAATCCCAAAAGATTGAAGAGGGTTTAAGGAAGCAAGTTTCTGAACTAGACAATAATTTTCTCAGCGTTTCTGCTAAACTCAAGGAAAGTAGTGAAAAACTGGCTGAGTTTAAGCTATTCAGTGATAGCTTCCCAGACAAGCAAGAAACCGTTGTCCTAAATAATACCAAAAATCCAAAATTAAAAGTAATTGAACGAGATGGCTTGGAGCCCTTTATTTCGGTGATTGAGGCTATTCCATCAGCTTGGTCATCCGGTTGGATAGTTATTCAACGGCGTATCAATGGAAACTCAAGTTTGTCTGCAAGTAGAACTGATTTTGAAAATGGATTTGGGGATATAACCGCAAGCTTTTGGCTTGGCTTAAACCTAATACACGAATTAACAACAAGCCAACGGCATGAGTTATACATAAAAGTTGTGGATTGCGATGGCGTAACAGCATATGCTAGGTATGATCACTTTGAAATTGGAAATAAAGAGGAAAATTATAAGATCAAGTCTCTTGGTTCATATTCGGGAAACGCTGGCGATGTTTTCCGAAGTCATGAGAGCGCTTCTATTAAGTCTTACAATAATGGACAATACTGGCATTCCTGGTGGGAAGCCTCACCGACGAATTGGTAAGCAAATAAGAAGGATCATTATTTTCAAAATAATAAATTATTTTATTTTATTAATTATTTTTACATTTACTCATTTAGCAACTTGAACGGAATGTATAATACATCGGACCAGTACGGATTTTTTTGGGGCCGTTTGTCTCTGGGAAGTAAGAATTGTCATCTAAAGTCCTGTCAAATGTGGATAAGGCCAAAAATCAAGTAATCCAAATATTTGACTCACAAAAGGTCAAACAATTAATTCAGCATAAGTCTTATAAATATTTCAAGTTAAGTTAAATGTTTTGATAAGTTAAATTGTCCCCAGTGGCTTTCAACAACCAATGTGCCACGGTCAATGTGAACCATGCTTATGTTTAATCTACGATAAATAAGATTCAAAAACCTATTTTTATAAAAGAAACTGTTAAATTAAGAAAAAAAACAACATCTTTAATTTGTACTTCATAAAGAGGATACATCCATTATATTTAGAATTAGTCGAATGAGTTCGAATAAGTCCCTAAGCGGATGTTTAAAAACCATGAAGTTATAATTTTTGTTCCATTTATCCAAGAAAATAAACTTAAAAAAGATTAAATTTTATTTGTCTAATTAAATTTCTAATTATAATAAAATATTCTAGCCAACGTAATTTTCAATCTAAAAATCGGTCACACCTTGAATTTAAAAACAAATAGTTAAGCTGGTGCACTAAAATGGAGAATGTGTTACAAAAGCGTTAGCCACTTCCCGCTTAGCAAAGTTGATTTACTATTATCTGTTATTCCGGACGGGATCCGCCACCGTCTCCTCGATCAGCAGCGGGGAGCTCCAGCGCATCAGGAAGTACGCGGAACCGGACTTGTCATTCGTCCCGGACAATCGGTTGCCGCCGAAGGGCGTCAATCCCAGGTGGCTGCCAGTGCAGCGTTCGTTCACATAGAGATTGCTGGCCGACATGCGCAGCTGGTTGAGGCAGTGAAGGATCACCTCGTCCCGCTTGGCGAATATGGATCCGGAGAGAGCATATCTGGACTGGTTGGCGGTCAGCTTGAGGGCATCTGCGAATGAGTCGTCCGGGTAGACGAAGATCGGCAAAAAGGGTCCGACAAAGGGTTCGCTTAGCAGCGGGTCCAGTGGATCGTCCACTCTGACTATCATCGGCTGGACGAACCTTCCTATGCTGTCATCGCAGATGCCTCCGCATAGCCGCTCCATGTTCTCTGTGCGCTCCATCAGTTGCTGCATCTGCCGGAAACTCTCCACATTAACCACCGCCCCCATATCCGTTATTGGTTTGACGGGATTCCCGATATGCAGACTGTTGGTGGCCTCCACCAACTTGTCACGGAGTCGCGGCCACAGGGATGAGGGCACGTACATGCGGGACAGCGAGTTGGCATACTGGCCGGCGTATCCAAAGGCCGCCTGCACCGAGGCCGTGACTACGGTCTCAATCTTGGCGCTCGCATGAACAAAATGAAAGTTCTGACCGGGACACTCGGCCACCAGGCGAGGGAAGCAGATGTACCGTTCCATCTTGTCGCCCACCATCTTGTGGACATGCCGGAATTCCGACGCACTGCACTGGCAATTCAGTCCGGCAAAGTGCACGGCATCCGTGATGGTGTCCAGGAAGAGCCGCTTGTTGGACGGCACAAAGTTGATGACTCCAGCGGGCAGGCCTGCCTCCTGGAAAGCCCGAAGGATAAGGAAGCTGACCGGGGCCACCTCCAACGAGGGATTCCACAGCACAGAGTTGCCCATTAGAGCCGGGCAGAGGGCCAAGCTGGCGGAGAGCGCAACCGATTCGAAGGGAGCCAGGGCTGCCACGAAACCGTCCAAGGGCCGAAGGTGGAAACTGGGAAAGACGCTCCTATTCCCCTGGATCTCGAATCGCAGGTCAGACAGGTGCTCCAGGTAATCGGCATTGGCCCTCAGTGAGCTGAGAAGCCGCCTAATGTCTCGCCTGGCATCGTCCAATGTCTTGCTGAGACTCAGCACAAGGAAGACGACCAACCGTGACTGGTCCTCTTCTATAAGGTCTGCCGCCCTTCGCCAAATGGCCAGGCGCTGAGGGGTGGGCACCAGGCTCCAAGTGCTCTGCGCTGCCAGAGCGGAGTTAATGGCACTTTCGATTTGCTTGCGATTTGCGAAATAAACCTGCGCCAGGACCGTCGTCAGTTGGTGGGGACTGGACACTCGTTGGTTATCCATGGTGTACTCCGGTTCGTCGCCAATGATGGTGGGCACCTCCAGCGGCTTGCGTTGGATATCCTGAATTATGTGGCTGATCAGTACCTTTTCGTTTTTGTGCAACCTTGGCATATCCTTCTCCTCCTCCTCCACCTTAGGCAAGAAGTTCTCCTTGTCCACAGCTTTCTTTGTTTCGCCGGAAAGGCTGGTCAGGCAACGGTTCCAAGCCACACATCGTGCTGGCACCAAGGATCTCAGCTTGAGCATAACGCGTTTATCATATGAAAGAATATCAATTTGAAGCTTTCAACAGGAATTTATTCTACCTTTTGCCAGTTGTAAGTACATATATGCGTATGCTTAAGTGTAGAAAAATATATGTGTGTTACGGTTAGGGAAAAGGCAGCTTGTGAATGGTATCAAATATGAAAAAATAAACCATCTCTAGGGGTCTCAACACAAGACTGCCTCAAGCTCCTTAAACGCAACACATACATAGTTTTTAGTTTAAGGGGGTCAGTCCATGTGAATGTTAAAAAATTATAAAATATTTATATCATCTATAAGTAGTGTAGAATTTGTGGTTTAAAGGATTATCAACTGGGATCCTGGAGAAAGTTCTTTCGTCTTTTTTTTTAGGACGATCTTTTCAAAACGCTGTAACTCAAGTTCTTCACAATATTTTTAACTTAAAATTTATATTTATACTGTTGAAATATACGCTAATAAGTGATCAGAAACTTAAAGCCTTATCTATTTACTGGTCTTAAAAAAAAATCCTAAAAAAACCCTAAAATAACATGCTGTTACATGCAATGACCCCCTTAAATCATAAAATCAAGTGCAAAAAACAAATTGCAAGTAGGATAGGCTTAAAAAAAATATAAAATGTTAGTCTTGGGAGATTTTTTGAAGGCAAATGTAATGTACGTACATTTATATAAATTTTAAAATTAAAAGTTGTACACACATTTATATAAATTTTAAAAGTAAAGGCTGCTATGGGGTAAGTCATATTATTTTTACCCTAATCAAGTTACTAATTTTTAAAAAATAATTTTGACTTAAATTTAGATAATTTAATACATATATTAATTACCAAAAGCAAGGCCTCCGTCAAGTTTTTAAGCCTATTTTAAGTAGGTTTTCGAATGCAGTATTGCTTTAGATTTTGTAATAAAAAACATAGAACGAGACATAAATTCACAATTCTCACAATAAAATAAAAAATATATGAATAATCGTGATTAAAGTAGGACTAGGTGGCATTCGTTTCTGAATTTCGATGCTTGCGCATTAGGAATAATATCTTGGAATAATATGTTGATGACGATGAGTGGATCAGGGCAGAAACTCATCTGGATATGTCACGGGTGTATCGTTGTTGAGCATTTCGTCAAATTTCTGAGTTCGAAGGTAACGCGTTTCTAAGGTCACTAAGGTGCTAAGAATGCCGAGTCCATCCTGCGGGGTGGTTTGGGGATGCTTGGGGGTTACATCCTGGCCTTCTATTCGAGTCTTGGATTGCAGCAAGGTTTCTAGTAATACTAAGCAGTCTTTGTCTTGCCTCTACAATTGAGCCGCCAGCCCGGAGGCGGAGATGTTGTCGCCTGCCCCGGCCGTCTTTCTGGCCTCCCGGCACACCAGCACGGGCGCCACACAGATTTCAACCTCCAGACGCTGACGCTGGCGGCCGTACTCGATGTATTCCCGCCAGCATGGCACTGGACTGGCAGCGCCTATTCTCATGCGAGGGGCATCCTCCTGTGCCGAGGTGGCAAAGCTGTCATCCAAGACTTGCAGCACTGCCTCCGGATTGATCTGGGAAAAGTGATTTGGATACCAACTATTATTCTTATTCTTTGGTTACCAAAAAAAAGTACTCACAAACTGCGACTTGCAGACGTAGCGATGAGCGGTGAGCGCCGCCTTGGCCGCCGCTGCCTGGGTATTCTTCCACTGGGAACCGGCTGTGGTGAGTATGGCCTGGTAAGCCAGTGTATGCACATGGATCCGCGATATGCGTCGCCTTTTGGTATCATGGGTACTATGATCGCCAAAGTCCTCCAGCAGACTGATGAATACCTCGCGCATCTGGTCAAGGGTGTGGGCAATGCGCGGATTCCAATCGGTGGCCAGCGTAGTGCGTCCGTGGGCCAGCACCTGCTGCAGATTGGCCAGCTCCTGCTCGTTCATGCCCAAGGAGTCCACGTAGGGCAGGACAAAGTGTCGCAGTTGCTGCAGCAGCTGAAGCTCCACATAGGAGGCCATCTCAAAGTGGTTAAGAGTGTCCCGAGGCTGGCTGGTTAGCTGCCTTTGTACTTGCTGTAGACGCGCCTCCCGTTCACCGGGATTAAATGTGAACATGTCCATCATTTGCAGCCCGCTGACCACTAGCAACTGCGGATGATAGACTTTCAGGGCGTCTGTTAGCTGCTCCAGGGCTCTAAGATGCGGATTGTTTCGGTCGTTGTGCAGGATATAGCGATTGGCCCGAGGCGCTACATAAGAGCCCCAGGTGTCGCCCGCCTTGTACTCTAAAATCAGATGTATATCATCGTCTGGGATCTCGTCACCCGCCAGCCTAATCTCCTTGGGCAATAGAGGACGCAATCTGCAAAAGATTAGGAAATAAATTCTGGGAAAGTCCAAGGGGATTTGTTCATGAATAATACTTCTTGGACATGTGGGCTCCTAGCAGGACATCGGCTCCTTCCATAAAGAAGCGCACGGCCATTAGCGGTGCGTTGCCGCCCATGTACCACTGGATGCCACTAGTGTCCTTGCCCATAAGCTTTGCATAGCCCACGAGTTGCTTGAAGAGCGTCCCATTTGCCATGACCCTTCTGTAAGAGCAGGAGTAAAATTAAAGTTCCAATAGAAACCCGTTTCCCGAACTCACTCCGCAGCAGCTCCATTCTGAAAATAGTAGGCAAAGGATTGCAGCAACTCGTCCTCGCTGTTGACAATCTGCCGGGAGCCGGTGGTGGTTGCCGGAATGCGACGGGCATAGTAACGCCCCAGGAATTCGGTGGCGTTTATCTGCAGGTCAGTGCAGGCACCATAACCAATGGCCACCTTTGGCGCCGGCTGAACGGCAGAGCGTTTCAAGGATCTGGTTAAGGAGTAAAGGTAATTCCATTACAGTGTAGTAACTCCCCTGATCCCTTACCCTTCAATGGCCAGCAGACCGGTGAGCAGGACCGTCGTCCTGTTGAGTGCCTGGAGTGAGAGGAACGCCTGCCAAATAATGGACACGAAGGCCGTGAAAACGGAGCAGCCCGTTAGCCATCCCATGTAGCGAAGGGCCGTCATCTTGGGCGACGTTTTTGATCCCAGCTAAAGGTTGACGTTCCGGCACTCTTATCAGAATTAGAGTTGTAGTGTTGCCGTTTCAACCATTTTTTGTTGTTGTTGTTGTCCCCAGGGTTGCCACAAATTTTGAAACGTAGTGTTGTCATCTGATAAAAAAATGGTATTAAATGAATTAAAATAAAAATAATAAAAAATAATATGACTAAGAAAGCAAAATTTAATAATTTATTATTGATATTATTATTATATTATTTTAATATATATTTTTTTGAAGCTTGCTTACTTGACACGTAAAATAGTCCTTTACTGTCATTTACATACTTTATTGCCTCTAGATGTCGCCACTGTAAGATTTTAAAAATGTAAAATTAAGAAAATATGTATAAATAATAATAAAAAATAACATAATAAAAAAATATAATAAAAAAGTTTATATTTGATTTGTTAAATTTTATACAAATTTATTATTTTTCCACAGGGTAATATCACAGATACATATTTTAAAAATCTTTTCTAATGTAAGGTTTTAATTAAAATATTAATATTATTATTAATTCAAATATTTATCATAGCTCTATATGCCTATACGTATAAGTTCCGTATCATTATAATATTTTTTTATATGGATATCAAACCTGGTTTACCTATAGTAGTAAGATATTATGTATTCTATTTTTAGTACATAAACAGCGGTGAAGAGGTCTGATTGTAAACTTGATTTAAAAGTTGATATCTTGACATTAAATATAAAAAAAAAATAATAATAATAATAATAATAATACATTGTAAAAAAAATCAAATTTTATTCCAAAAAAAGTAACTGTACGCTTTCTTCGTAGATGAAATTTACCTGTATATAGCAGCGCAGATGCTGTTATAAATATTATCTACCTGACCTTAACCATCTGGTTAATAATCCGAGAAAACTTCTGAAACAACAGGTAGAACATTTGCGCTTATTAACTATTGTTTCACGTACGCTATTATTTGTGTCTTTAGGAGGTCTAAATTAAAATCCTTTAATCTCTTAAAATATAAGTAAAATATAAATATTAACTTAAATATATTAATATATTAAGTTATAAAAAATAATCCCAATTAAAAGAAATCAAAACTTAAAGCATTATTTTCGGAAGCTCAATTTTGTGTACTTAAAGTCTCAAATAATCCTTACTTGTAATTAAAATAAACACCAAAATCTTAGATATATTTTCCAAGAGTCTTCCATAACATTATTTTGTTAATTTACATTTTTCAAACGTTTTAATTTCTTAAATTTGTGGAAAAAATGCAAATAAATGGATTCGCAGCCGGTCAATTGAGTGATATCATGCTCGAAGCTCAGCTTTGAGATTTTGAGATTAACGTCGGCACTTGCTTGGATCGTATCATCCCCAAAAGTGACATCTAGTGTACCTGATTCAAGCTGAGACGTTCTTAGTTCTGTCTGCCTACGTCATAAATCAGCAAAGAAGCTGACTTGATGTGTCTGTATTTCGTTGTGTTTTTGACGGTTCCTTCTTGTCGATTGGGCTCGTTGATTTATAACAAGTTGTTGCTGCTTCTTCTCTCGATTTGGATACGGTGTTTCGCATTAATTGCTTCTTGCCGTTATTATTGTATCGATACAAGGTTAGTCAATTGCACTAGGCAAGGTACCCAGGCTGTGTTTCTTGTATAGGAAGTGTTTTTTTGTGAGTCTTCTGGCCGGATGGGAGCAGCTAGATAGTTAACTATTCCCCGGGTAAGGGAATCTCACGATGCAAAACGTATATTTATGGAAGACATGGCATTTTATAGCATTCCCGACTATTAAAAATCCCCATCGGCCAATTAGCGTCTATAAACGGCTATCGCGTCTGGACCAAAGTCTGAGCTCTTCTATTTATAACGCCAGCAAGGCAGAGTGCCCGATTTCATTCCAGACCGCAAGACACGATGACTGGCCGCTTAGAATCAAGATCGGTTCGCTGGGACGACACGCATGACAGGTGTAATGTCTGGAAACTATTTTTATTTTTATCAGCCCAATGAAAGTGAACATCGCACATTAAATGCTTCGCAGTCGCCGCTGTATGTGCGGTGCCATGCTGTGCGTGTGTGCCCGGGTCTGGCTCTGGGTCTGTCTCTGACAGCCAATATATTTTGTTGCTGGCTTATTTTATTTCACTTTTGTTCTGTTTCGCGAGTCTCGTATATGCGATTATTGTGGTTTTGTTTTTAGTTGTATTCCATTCCATTTTATTCTATGCGCAGCCGTCCGCTGCCCACTGGGACTCCCGTATAAAATCAGCATAATCAGAAATTCTACCAAGCAGTTGGTTCTAAGCCGTTGACGGAGCCGGACGCAGCTCATCGCGCCTCTGGTCTGGAATAATTGATCTGTTATCCATTTGGTATCGTGTAATTGTGCAGTTTTGTGTCTGAAAAGTAAACTAAAAAACAATTGCAAGATTTACACATCAAGAAGCGGAGAAAAATAATCGGTGAAGTGATAAGTTATACTCTCCAGATAATAATTATAGCTCGTTTGGATATAATTCGTTTCTATATAAATATATACAAAAGAAGGTATGTCTTCGCGTTGTTCTATTTATTCGCGTTCGTTTCCTAAGTCTTTTGTTTCGCGTGGCGCTGAAAGGAAGCAAATTCGCTCGGCTAAATGAAATCGAAATTTAAATCAATCTTTATCACAACTGGATTTGGCACGCTCTCTAGTTGTCTTATTATATAGCGTCGCTTCGGTTTCCCTCTTCCTCGACACTTCCGCATGCAGTCCAACATAATTTAAAATTAAAGTTATTCTTCGGCGACTCTGTGAACTTATTGATTTTTGCAATTTTAATTAATTTTGCTAGAGTTGTGTGCATGCGATATAGAAGAGGGGTATATCTGGAAATTGAAGTGGCATAAATTACAATAGCAATTAAAAATAATTGTTCAAGTGTTATTATTATAATGGCTGTAAAAAAACATTTAAAGCATTTATCTTTGGATGTGCTACTATAAATAAATGGTTTCAGCTTTAATAAATACAATTAAATTTTAAAGTTATTTAAATTCTAAATATAATCATGATTTAATCCATAATTATAGCCAATTTGGAAGTGTTAATAATAATTAATAAATCTTGAGCTACTTTAATTATCCATATCCATCCACTAAACACATTCTTCTAGTGGAATAATAAACCACAGAGATTCTTAAAATTTAGTTTATGTGCCATGTGGAGATATTTCGTCAAAATACAATTCTCACCTAGCCAAATCGATTAGTCATTTCGATTTTTTTTTCCTATAGCTATAAATTAGCATAATGTGGTCAATATTATTTAATGCTAAAATGTTAAAATTAGTTGGCTCCGTTCCGGCGAAGACAAAACAAAAGCCAAAAAAACAACCAAAGGTGAATAAACTGAAGAGGCCTGAGCTCGGCTTCTGTGTAATGTCTTGGCCAGGCTTGGGGAACTGGTTCAAAGTCGAGGACGTCATCAACGAAACTGAGAGTGCGGAGAACTCCGAGCTGAAGAGCTTTAGCTTACATGAATCTTATCTTATCTTTGGATCTTTATTCTCATCTGGTTTTCCACTCAACAGCTGTCTGCCGAGATGTCGTCGACTAGCCTGATTTGCTTTGGCCTCCTCTTCCTGTACTCTGTCACCCATGTGACGTCACAGCGGACGTCACTGGACGTGGCCTTAAAAAACTCCTACCGTCCGCTGCGTCTTCTGGGCCTGGCCTTCACCGGGAGATCTGGCGATGATCCACAAAACGTGCAGCGCGTACGAATGGCAGGGGTAAGTCCAGTGAATAATGCAATCATTGATCCGGATTCGATTGGTTGACTTTCCCATTAGCATTGTCTTTTATTTGGAATAAAGAATTCATACGAAATTCGGTCAATATACTGTTAGTTCATTTCAGTTTATGGGCGACACTTACTGTATTGAATTTAAAAATAAAATATATAAAAAATATAAATGATTAATAAATTAGATTTATTATATAAATTTATATTACTATTAATCTCCTTTTTATCCCTGACAGAAAACCCAAAAATCGAATCCCCGCACCCGAGCTCTTTTGGAATTCTGCGATGCCGAGCACGGACCCGGCAGACGAAGCCAGGAGAGACCAACCAGCGTGCACCGCCTCCGGCCCGGAGACATTGATGTGATTGGGGCCATGGGCGACTCGCTGACCGCCGGAAATGGTATCTTTGCTACAAACCTGCTGCACGTGACCGTTGAGAACAGGGGTGTGGTGTGGTCCATTGGGGGGCAGTATGACTGGCGCAAGTACCTGACGCTGCCCAACATCCTTAAGGAGTTCAATCCGAATCTATATGGGTATGCCATAAAGGATGGGCTCTCCACGGATCGTACTTCCCGCTTTGATGTCGCCGAACTGGCTGCCATGTCCCGGGATATGCCTTACATGGCCAAGGTTCTAGTACGTCGCATGCAGCGCGATCCTAACGTGAATATGACCGCCGACTGGAAGCTGGTCACGATCTTCATTGGCAACAATGACTTTTGTGCGGACATCTGCTATTATCCGGAGCCGGAGCGAACGGTCGAGTGGCACGAGCGAAACATGTTGAAGACCTATCGTTATCTAAGAGACAATGTGCCTCGTTTGGTGCTGAACGTGGTGCCTGCCCCCAATCTGAGGTTCCTCACAAATCTGTCGGGTTTGCCGCCCATTTGCACCAGCACCCTACGCTTCGAGTGTCCCTGCCTGGTGGGCAAAAGCAAGTCCAAGCTGGACTACATGGAGAGCATCATGAAGCGTTGGATAGCCAAAGACATGGAGATAGCCAACAGAGATGAGTTCAACACGGAGGTGAGAGTGCTAGCAGATTTGTCTTTTAAGTAATTATTACGAACTCATTTTAAAAATTATTAATTGGTGACTTTCAGACCTTTACAATCAACGTGCAGACATTCTCGCAGTTTCATGACTTCCCCCGCACGCGTTCCGGTCAGACGGACACCAGGTTCTTCTCGGAGGACTGCTTCCATCTCAGTCAGCGTGGTCATGCCGCCGCGGCTAATGCCATTTGGAACAACATGCTGGAGATGCCGGGCGAGAAGAGCGGTTTTGCCACCCAACTGTTCGAGACCTTTCGCTGCCCCACCGCACAGCGTCCATATCTCATCACCAGGGAGAACAGTCGTCCGGACTTTGTGATATAATATAAAGTGGGGCCTGTTCTCCCCTGTGAATTACTCCCTGTGATATTGCGCCTAAGTCTTCTTTCCACGATTTGCGTATATTTTTGTAGCTTAAATTAGCGAGATGTTAAGTGTAAATATTTGATGATAATGAGAAAGTCAAATAAATGATAATCATGATTTTATGTGAGTGAATGTTGTGCGGGGCGGGTCATTGTCGATGGGGCGTGTCAATTCGCTATAAGTACATTTTCTCAACACTATCGTGGGCACGTGTATATTTTTTTGGCAAAGCTTAAAGACCTACTTGGCAATTGACATCGATTACACGCCACGCGATCCATAATAATGAGTAGTTATTAATATTCCCCAATGGAAAATATCACAAAATTTCAGTCCATAAATCACTAGAAAGGCAATAGTTAAATTATAAACAAAAAATAACTCTAAAAGTAAAACGTGGAGTTATTAAAATTAATTTTACTAATATATTCCACACAAAAATTAAATAAAGTTATAAAAATATAATATAAGTTCAAAAGTAAAACGAGGAGTTATTATAATTAAATTTGGTTGAAATGTAGATAGGTAAACAACAATATATAAAGTTTAATAAATATATGTAGGGACTTTATTACTTTTATTAAAATAATTTAAAGACATTACAAAATTAAATATCCTATATGAAATCTATGAGAAAGTGTTTAAAATTATTGATTATTTATTTGTGGAATATCTGATAATTTTTTCGTTTGAATCTTAATCATATTTTCGTCCAAAAATATCTTTACGAATCTTTACCATATTGACTTATTGACTTATTGTAACTAATCTTTTAGCCAAAACTAATTTATAATCCATTACCGCTAAACGAGACCACAAATATGTACATAATTAATAGTGTTAATTACGTGCTGCCTATTAGTTTAATCGCTTTAACAAATCGTTTCATTTCTGCCTTCATCCGATTGTATTGTTCCGCTTTATGGGCAAAGTTAAACAAAATAAATAACCGCTTAAGTGCCGGCAATAAGGCAGTCATATCAACTTGATGCTGAATAATATGAATTGTAAATCATTTATACGACTTAATTTTAAATGTTTTAAAAAGGACTTTTTAAGTAGACTAAGGGGATGTAAAAGGGAGGTAAATTTTACTTAGCTTAAGCTAAAACTAAGGATCATAATACACTATTAAAAAAAAGATATAATCCCAGTGAATATGTTAATCGTGCCCTAAGGAATACCACCTTTACTGCCAGATATTCAAAAATTAATAACCCATCAAGATTCTGTTTTAATAGAGTTCTCAGCTCGTTAACAAGTTGCGAGTCACCCTGGTGATAAGCGATAAGCGCCGATGACACACGGCAAACATGCCGGGAATGGGCGCGTCATGAAACCTGTTACAGTTTATACCCATTATTTCCCCAGTCATCATCATCGGGGCGCACGCACCGCCGAACATCAATAAAGCCGGATCATAATTGTCGTTTAATTCGGTTGCTGCTTTTAAAAATAAATTGCTCGCTTGCGTGTACGTGTTGTCGCCCGCCTAGCTCAAAAATCACCGCTCAACGGTTTCGCCAGCCGGTGCAAAAAAGCAACAAAATAAAAAATAAAAATAAAAATAAAATAAACAGAAACTACGGCAAAAGAGAAACATCAATTATCGCATTTATTTCGAGAGCTTATTGCAGCATTTCAAAGCCGGCGCATTGTCATTGACTTTGAACTTGGGCCCCCGTTCTCCCCCACAAAGTCGGTCAGCACATTTTTTGGGCTTCGATTTCAGTTCTAGGCAAGCGCCTGCGAGGTATGCTCAACGAGTTTATCGCATTTTTCATTGGCACATTTTTAGCTTTCGAAAATTATTTATCTCGGCACTGCAAAATTGAGAAAGATGCCATAAAACTGGTTATCAATATCAGGTTTTTTCTAATACGTTTTCAAGTTTGAAAAATAATTCATTATTACGTAATCGGCAAATGTAATCAAAAAAGTACTTTTTTCGCAGGGTAAATGTAGCAAATTATCTTTGCCACACAAGATTTGTTATTGTTATCTCAAGAGATTGAAGTTGAGCCTCCCAAAGCTAAAAGCTAAGAGTTAAGTATTATTAATGGTAATAATATTCTGGTTTAAGTAATATACATATTATATATATATTTTTTAGCTTAAATTAACCTGATCAAATGAAAGTGTATCAATGCCTGCTTGACTAATAAACATTCAATTTAAGAGCGTCCGATCTCGTAGAGATCTAATTTCAATGACAACAATTAAATGCGAGGCCTGGTGTGCCATGTTAATGAGTGTGAGCTCAGTTCTAGGGGTTGTATATAGTATATGGGATGGAACCCGGACACTCGCGTACCATTCAAGTATTTATCAATAAAGTCTCATTTGATTGACTCTGAGACAGCTTATATTAAAGTAACTAAGATGCTAATTACACGATTGCCTTTGCAACATTGTAGAGACCATAAATTCAAAAACTCGTTTAATTGCCGCCATAACATGGCGCCATCTTTGGGAAAAAGCATGCACTAAAGACAAAGTCCGACTTTATGGTGAATGGTAAATTTTTTAATTTATTGTTGGTTTATTACCAGATTTAATTCTATTAATATAGCCACAAGTTTAGCAGGTAATTTTAACAGGTATTTATTATAATAAAATATAATATTACATAAAAAATATATATTCTAAACTCATTACTAAGATATAATACATTTTTTTTAATTAGAATAATTTAATTAAATATTTGTATTAAGATCTTTTTAATATGTTTATTTATTATTTAAAGTTTAGTGGTAATTTCATAAGACCTTTGGCATAGCTATGTAAAATGGTTAGCTATGAAAAATGGTTTCAGGTGTTTCGTTAATGAAGCGAATGACCACAAGAGATAAACCAAGAAAACCGTTGACAAAGAGTTCTTGAAATTTTGTGCTTACCTTTGCACTCAAAAAAATATAAATTACAATGCACTTTGCCCTGAGCTGCGCATTTTCCGGAAATTTTAAGCCATGAGAGACGACAGACAACGATTCCAGCTACCAGCAGTGGCAATAGTTTTCATATTGGGTAAGGTTCATTTTAATTTCTGAGCGTTTAATATTTAAATTTAACGAATATAAAAATATGCATTAAATACATCTACTTTGCTTTAAAAAGATCTAAAAAAGTGGTTCCAATCAAGCTTTTAAATAAAATATAAATTAATTAGCATCTTCAACAGAGATATCAGTAATTATCTTATTTCTAAATAATAATTGGATTTCCTTTTAGTTCTACAGCCCTGCTTTGCCCTGCCCTTTGGCACTGGTTCTAGTAATGATATTGATATCGATGGAAACTATCAAAACTCCAGCGGCGGAAGGCCCGTGGATTATCACACGGTTGTGGGTCATTTCAAGGACTTCTTTATGCACCTTCCCGTTATGATGACCACCATTAAGGAGACCATGTCAGGATTTCCTAAATTCGCCGAGGGAATGCGCATACTGACCTCTGGCAAAGGACGTGTCGATGGCGAGGACTGTAAGTGCAGCCAAAACGGATTAACGAGCAGCGAAATCTTGGATTCAAATGGAAGATTTGGTTGATACTAGCTTGGGAGCTGAGCCAACACAACTGTAGATACTGTATATAAACAAAGGAATGTGAAAAATAAAATAAATTATTAAAAAATGTGTAAGATATGTAAGGGTATTTTAAGGTTGAAATTCAATAGTTGTAAAATTGCTCACCTTTCCCAGAAATTACCATGAATAGTAACATCAAGTACCTAAAATTGTATAATAATTCCCTGCTTCCAACTGTTAAAAGCCATAAAAAATATACATAAGCAATTACTGATAGTTAAAAGGCATTACCCAGCTAAAATCCAAAACAATGGCCAAGAAATTCCATAATTTGTTTGCCATTGAAATAAGAAAATCAATTCCGAAGCACTCAATTAGGGACCCCTTGATGAACTCACGTATCCCGAGAAGCTTCCATGTCCTTGACCGGCGAAATTGGTTATCCAATGACTATGTAAGATATAGCCCACTTTGGACTGGACTTGAACTATATTTCCACGTATTTTCTCAAGCTGTTGTCCGACTTATTAGCCATAGTACGCCTGGGAATGCTCACAACCTGTCCCGGTGGTTGATGGAATGGCGCCTAATCAGAGCCACCAATCTGCATACGACGGGCGGAGCTTGGAGGGTTGTTGTTGTGGCCACCCACTGTCATGTTTGCATTTGTCATTATTGTTAATTGTATTTGCTGGGTGGCCGAGCATGCATGGTCTATATTTACATACCAATCCCGAGTCCCTTGGCCCGGGCCCAAAGGGACAACTGTAATCCAAAGTTTTCACTTTCCGTTTCAGTGAGCCCCGCGGCGTTGGTAGGAACGCAACTGTAGCCGAGTACAGCATGCCCAGGAAGCGCAAAAAGCAGACTTACAACTAGGAACCAGAACCAGTCTCAATCAGGAAGATCTGCAGGATGGTCGCCGGCATAGAGTTAATGGTGGCCGCCGCCCTCTGCGCCACTTGTCCGCCGCTAAACGAATCCCTGCCGCCGAATCTGATTCAGCTGGGCGATGACACCGGCCTGCCCACCGAAATGCCCATTGATCTGGAGGCCTCGGTTGCCGGCGTGGATGTGGATGCCCCCGCAGAGACGCTGGAAACTATTATTGGAAAGAAGCTTAAGGTGCGCGAGATGCGCGAGTGGATAGTGGGCAAGCATCTGCGGATTGCCACGCTCGAGGACTATCCGCTTAGCTATACGGAGCTGCTGGAGAACGGCACACGCATTGGCCACGGCGTGTCCTTCCAGATTATTGATTTTCTCAAAAAGAAGTTTAACTTTACGTACGAAGTGTTTGTTCCCCAGGACAACATTATCGGCTCACCCACCGACTATGATCGCAGTCTTATAGAGATGGTCAATAGTAGTGTAAGTAGCCTGAGGGATTTGGAAATGTTTCTTCTTAGCTTACTTGTTTTTAAATTAAGATAATGATTACATATTTCGTGGCGAATATTAATAAGCTAATTCCCCCTCAGGTCGTGGACCTGGCTGCCGCCTTTATACCTTCACTTTCTGACCAGAGGAGCTTTGTTTACTACTCAACCACAACGCTGGACGAGGGCGAGTGGATAATGGTGATGCAGCGGCCTCGGGAATCGGCCAGCGGCTCAGGCCTGCTGGCTCCCTTCGAGTTCTGGGTCTGGATATTGATCCTGGTCTCCCTGCTCGCCGTTGGGCCCATCATTTACGTGCTGATCATCCTGAGAAACCGATTAACCGGCGACCGTGAGCAGCTACCGTACTCTCTGGGCCATTGTGCTTGGTTCGTGTACGGGGCGCTGATGAAGCAGGGCAGCACTCTGTCCCCCATTGCCGGTGAGCTGCAATTAGGTTAAAGTGCAATCGGCCGATTAAGATAGCAATCGGCAAGCGCTAATGTCCACTAGGATTGCCACCCTTGCATGCGTTTGCCGTTTCATTAAACTCATTAAAAACTATTATACAGACTCGACCCGGTTGCTTTTTGCCACTTGGTGGATTTTCATCACGATACTGACGTCCTTCTATACGGCCAACCTGACTGCCTTTCTCACCCTCTCGAGGTTTACGCTCCCCTACAACACGGTCAACGACATCCTGACCAAGAACAAGCACTTTGTCTCCATGCGGGGAGGTGGGGTGGAGTATGCCATTCGAACAGTGAGTGCGATCGATAGAGTATCATCAACTTAAAAATTAATATTTATAGAAATATGATATAGTTCCTAATTTTTTTTACCATTTCAGACCAACGAGTCTCTGTCCATGCTGAATCGTATGATTCAGAATAACTACGCCGTGTTTTCAGACGAGACCAATGACACTTACAACCTGCAAAACTACGTAGAACGGAATGGTTATGTCTTCGTGCGGGATCGGCCGGCGATCAATATAATGCTGTACCAAGACTACCTGTACCGCAAAACCATTAGCTACACCGACGAGAAGATTCACTGTCCTTTTGCCATGGCCAAGGAGCCATTCCTCAAAAAGAAGCGCACTTTCGCCTATCCCATCGGTTCGAATCTAAGCCAGCTCTTCGATCCTGAGTAAGTGAGCCCGGGTTATGCTCCGCCCACATGATTTGACTTTACCCTTTGCAGGCTTCTCAACCTGGTCGAGTCGGGCATCGTGAAGCATCTTTCGGCCAAGGACCTGCCGAGTGCGGAGATATGCCCACAGGATCTTGGCGGCACTGAGCGACAGCTAAGAAATGGTGATTTAATGATGACCTACTACATCATGCTGGCCGGCTTTGCCACTGCGCTGGCCGTCTTTAGCACAGAGTTGGTGTTCCGCTATGTGAACAGTCGCCAGGAGGCAAACAAGTGGGCGCGTCACGGCATTGGCCGCTCGCCCAACGGTCAGTCAGTGGCTCCCTCCCGTTGGCTTCGAGGCTGGCGCCGCTTGGACAGCGGCCACAAGCAATTGCTAGGTGCATCCACTCATGGTCAGAATGTCACACCGCCGCCACCCTACCAGAGCATCTTCAATGGGGCCGGCCATGGGGATGCGTTGAACCGTTGGCGACGACCTTTAGGTAATGGAAACGGGATCGGTAATGGCGTCCTGCTTGGCGGCGATTCTGATGGTGGCGTCAGGCGTTTGATCAACGGTCGCGACTATATGGTGTTCCGGAGTCCAAACGGCCAGAGTCAGTTGGTACCTGTGCGATCGCCCTCGGCGGCGCTCTTTCAGTATACTTACACGGAGTAGGGACTACCTGGCAGTAATGAAAAAAGCAGCGCAACTAATTTCTTAATATTCAAATTTTAAAGTCTTAATCAGAATTTGTGTTTTGGTAAAGTAAAATTACTTACCTTCTTTGAGTATATTTATAAGGAATACGAATTTCTGAAATTAAGTTAATATAAAAACCCTGAAACAGTAACACCTGTAACCATAGCACCTAAGACGTAGACATCCCGTTACAGAGTTATCTAAATAAAGTGCACTTGTCTTAAAGTCAAAACCATTTCATTTAAGAGATCAACTCTCACACTCACAATCTGAAGATTAAATGGGAAATTTCTGAAATGTATGGATCTACTAAGGTTTTAAAAAGGACTGCAAAATAAAGGTCACAGGAAATTGGTACAGAGAAGAGGTACATCACTAGCTCAATAAAAAATCCAATTTGGTAGCTATGTGAATAAAATTTTCTTTCTATTCTCATTATTATATGTTATAGGTAGATAGAAACAAAATCTTATGACTATATATTATATAGCTGCCATAGGAACGATCGGAAAATGTATGGAATATAAATATAGCTTTGCTGTTTTTCAATATAATTTTTCTACTTCGAGACACGACAACTTTAATGAATATTTAAATATCATTGGTCCATACACAGTTGCTATATAATTCCAAAACAGTTTATTGCAAATATCTGGAATTTTCGTTACAAAAGCTTTTGAATTTCACGCAACTTGAAAAATAACCAGAAAATATCTAATTTAGTTCACCATTTCGAGTCTAGTCCAGCGTCGACTGCGCGCTGAAGGCATAGTTTGATGACTGCATGTCCAGGCTGCTGTGGGAAGAGCACGAACTCACCGATGGCGCACGGGTTGATCTCTCCGAGGAGGCGGATGAGGGTCCACTGGATGCGGACGAGGAGGAAGAACTAACCCAGGCGTGGCCACTGCGCCGTCGTCGCTGCCGGACAAGGCCCAGAACCGATCCAGCCACCGGAGTGGAGTTGGAATTTGCCGACAACTGTCGCCGGATACCGACATTCAAGGAGATTTGTGCGGGAGTAGGCACGGGTGCTGTGGCCGGTCTTTGGAGCGGTAATTCCGAACTGCCCGCCGATTCAGGCTCACTAGAGGCCGGAGACGGACTCTCTTCGATCTCCGGTGGCGCCGTATTCAGTGTCCGTCCGTCCAGCAGAAGAAGCGTGGGAACACTTCGCGCGAGAAGTGAGCGGTAGAGGGGCAGCCGGCAGACTGGATTACCCTGCAGTTCTACCTCCTGCAGCTGCGGACACATGCCAAGGAAGGAGAGCAGTCCCAGCTCGCTGATCCGATTGCCGCGCGCCCTCAGCACTCTGAGATGAACGAGCTCGGCCAGGGGGTCCACGCGCTGGATCATGTTGCCGTCGGCGATGAGCACCCGGATACCCGGCAGCCCGCTGGTACCGTCGAAACTATTTAAGCCACAGTTGCTGATGTCCAGCTGGGTTAGCTGGACCAGTCCGTAGCCCAAGTCGCGCAGTGAACTAAGCACGCTGCCGCTAAGGTCAAGTGTCTGGAGGCGAGGCAGGAAGAGTGACAGCCGGGACAGGCTGATTGTGTAGGAAATGACGCGCAGGCGCACTGATTCCACCGCTTCCAAGTCCGTGCGCTGGGTCACCCTGCGCTAAAAGATAGTCACATAATTAAACCCTTTTAGAAACTATTTTGTGAAGCCTACCAGTAGCTCATCCAAGGTCGGTTCCGGAGCCTGCTGGGGCAACACCACTGGCAGCAGATGCACAAAAGCCGGAAAGTGTTGCGTTTCCTCAGCAATGGCCACATCCCGGTCAAAGGAGTTTCGGCGAGCCAGCTGCCGTCGATTGATCTGAGCCCGCTGCTGCTGCTGCTGCCCGGGATTCTGTTGGTTGAGCCGCACCTCAGGTGGCGGCATTCGGATCTGTGCCAGGGCAGCCGGACCCGGCGGCGCCAGGAGGACCGGCAGCTCCGCCTGCAGGGAGTGATCCGGCGAGGGCTCCAAGTACTCGGCAGGCGCCTCTAGCAAGGGCATACTCGGTCTTACTGCGGGTTTTAGGCGTTCCTAACTGCGCCAGCCTGTATTTTGACTGGTTTCATCGACATAACAGCCCAATGGTTGCCATAGGCAACGCTCAGGGATAGTGAGTGAATCTCTCTTTTATTATTTTGCTTGTTTATTTGTTAAGTTATTATAATAAGGCCAGACATTCCTGTAGTTTTAAGATTCTTTATATGTATTTATATTTATTTATTTGGCTACACTATATGTATATATAGTACTGATACTGTCTTAATTTAAATATCCTTAGGTCCTAGGGTAATATTTAAAAAGTTAATGATTGCCAAAAGCCGCAATATACACACAATTCCTTTCGCAAGTTTTCTCAATAGCTGCCTACCCTTAGAAGTAGGCAACCGTTTTTACTAAAGATGGAATTCAATGAAAAGTAGTAAACAATATTCAATAAGACCTGGTATTAATATGAATATAAATATTATTCTTTATTTTAGGCAATACATCCTTATCTTATCTTTATCTTTTAAATGAAATAGAGTAAATTATTTAATTTGAAACTTCTTATAGGTGAATAAACTTTTCGAGGACAAGTTTTTCGTTTTAAAAATCTAGTAACTGTAGCTGCATTTATGTCTTATATCGATCTGTTTTTTTGCAAAATTCCGCTGGACGCCTTCATTCCTCCGTACATTTTTTGGCAATAAGCCCACTGACGTCAGTGTGACGTCATGGTCGTGACGTTCGCTGAGCGGCTCTCTCTTGGAATCTTCCTGCCTCTGTTATGTCTGTCTGCTGAGGGAGAGCGGTGAAAGCTATTAAATCCAGGAGCGGAGTAAGGATGTTGCAAATTTTATTAATGTATTAATTTAAAGGATATATTAATTTGTATTATTTATTATTTTTATTATCGTATTATCATTTATAAGTCAGTTTATTTAAGGAGTTTTATGTTAATTAATTATAAATCGTAGGATAAACGAATATTTTGTGATACACTTGCCTGAATCCGACACCGCCTGAATGCCTTTTGCCATTTCAAGGGCCATTAGCTTGAGTCCCTTTCGCCTCTCTCTTTCTCTTGGCACCTTTCTCTTTCTGCATTTCTTTCTCTTTCTCTTGCTTTACTATAATCAAATTTGCCTGACGCCTGACAAGCTTTTGCCGGCTTTTGTATATGTTCCGGGAGGAGGAGGGTGTGACTCCTTGGGGAAGGCACTGTTGTTGTTTTGGTTTTCGGCTAGAGCTTTTTCCATTGACGTCATCAGAGGTGAAAGCTGCGCAGTGAGGCTGACATTACCACGCATTTATCGATTACACAGGCGAGAGTGCAGGAGAATGGGAGAGGAAGGGGCGGAGACGAACACGGAGGCGGAGGGGATAAAGGAGTGAGAAAAAGGACAAATGAGTGGGCGAAATTGGTTTTTGCCTAAAATTGCATGACAGCTGCTAAGAAATAAAGCAGAAACAATGCAAACAAAATAAAATGCATTTCATTGCACTCTCAAAATGCCACAGCAAAATATTTATAAAATAAAAGTAAGCAGGCAAAATGCAAACTACCCCATTAACAATGTTGAAGCACTCCATTTATTTGAGTTTAACACCTCAAGTCACACGACCTTTTCTCCCAGTGTAGCCGCAGCTGCTTTTCGAGTTTGGGTTCAGGTGTTGCAAATAAAATCCCATCTTCAGCTCGCACATTTTTATAGATGCCTAAAAATAGAATTTGTCAATAATGCCAACAAACACAGACACACATACTCTGAAACCCCTACACGAGCACAAACCTACACACACATTCGCAGGGTGTAGGTGCACGAACACGCACTGTTGACGTCATTGTCAGAAAAGCTGAGGCTCTCTCTTTTTGGTCCGTTACTACGTTACAAGCCAAGCGAGTATTCTACCATTTCTCGCCTCTCTCCTGCGCTCTCAAACTTTCTCTTTGCTGCCGTCGTCGGCGTAGCAGTCGCTGCCAGCGTCAACGTTCTTTAAAGCCTTAACAGTGGTTTTAGTCTGCGCTTAGGTTCTGAGTTCTATTTTAATTCAAAACTAATACCCTATGTCAAATTAACAGTTAACAATGTTTGCAATGATTAAAAATATTAAATTAATTATTAAAAATTTCGAATTTAAGGTAGGTTCCAAAACAAAGGTTATAAGTTCGGCATTAGTCAATGCATATTATTCATTGAAATAAAAACATTTAAAAAATTACAAAACTGTACTATGCCAAGTATGTTATAGGAATGTATAACCACAGACACACACCCTTGTAAAGTACTTGTTAAAAACAAATAGCTCTGGCTTACAGAGTTCGAATTCTGTAATCATACCCTGGGCTGGAAAAGTGGGATGGTATATTGGTATTCGCGCACTTTCTTTTTTTTTAAATAAAATTTTGCTCTTGTGTTTTTTCTTATACATTTGGATTAGAAATCCAGCTTCATCTCAGAAATTGCAAAAACATAAACATAAAAAGAACAAAAAAAAATAATTTAATCATGCTTTTGTTTTAAGTTTTCTTATGTCAAAAATGTAAACCCAATAACACCAAAAAAGGACATTAAAGATACCTAATAGATTGCAAAGTTACAAGGCCAGGGTATTGGTGCAGCGATACACTGGACTAAAGCAAGCTTAATTGTTCTATTCAATATTAACAGCGGTAGAGACGCGGACGCCGAAGTCGACGCAGGAGAAAGCTCTCCAGAGCGAGGACTGGGAGAGCAACGTCTATTTAAGCCCGAGACAACGCTCAAATCGTTGTTATTGCAGGACAAATTCTGACGCGCGCTGCCAGTGTTTCCGGTTACGTTCGCAGTGGAAAATATCAAAGAATATCCTAAAACGCCATGGATAGCGCCGAGTAGGAATAACACGCTTGGCCATCAGATAACTATTGACATCTGGATATTTCGGTTGCACTTTCTGCGCGTTGCGGGGATCGAATCGAATCGAAAACTGAGCGGAGAGCCTTGAGGAAATGCCACCAGCTCGCAGCTGAGGTGCATTCGCTGTTGTTGTAGTGCTAGTGCTCGCGAGTGTGTGCTTGTGTGTCAGTGTGGCTGTCTGGGTGTGGGTGTAGCTGCCAGTGCACCGTTATTTGGGTCAAAAGCTGCAGCAGCACAAAGTTCCAGGGGTTTTCCACCTGTTATGCAGCTGGCCTAGGAGCGTACGCAGTGCGGAGTGACCCATGGAGGCGAAGGTACATCGCCAGCACCAGCGACAGCGACGGACGGAGGCGCGTCAAAGGCGCCTGGAACGCGAGGCGGCCGCTACAGGGGCGCCACCCGCTGGGAACACCACCACTCCGGAGCGGGAGGAGCGTGAGGAGGCCCTGGACTGTGCCACGGCCCTCAACGAGTCGGTGGCGGACTTGGGCACCGGAGGAGGAACACCCAGCAGCGCTGGCCGCATCAGTGCCCAGAGCTCGGCGGACAGCATCGAGCTGGTGGGCTCCCCCAGCCAGACATCTCAGCAGACAGTGGTCCTGGTTAATGGCCATGCCCCGCCCACGCAGGAGGATGGCGCCCAGGAGAGCGCCTCGCTGGGTGCCCGTGAATCGCCACCGCCGCAGCCGCCTAAACAGAGCGACGGCAGCCGCAACTCCTCCGGCGACGCGATGAGTCTGCGGGAGACGCTGCAGCAATTACCAGCCACCCATCACCACCACCATCGCTCCCGGCGCACCCACTCGCCGCAGGCGCCGGCCCTAGAGCCGGACGCCTCATTTCACCGCGGCATTCTTGGCTACATAGATCGCGAGCTCAAGCAGAGCTCGCCCACGCCCTCCAATGGCACCGCAAACGGAACTGGTGCCTCTCGGAAGCAGCAGTCGCTGTCGGATCCGCAGGCCAGTCCCGCCCAGCGTTCCTTGCGCTCGCGGAGCAGCTTCGACAAGAGTCCGCGGCGAAAGCGCAGCAAGTCCGAGTCCAGGAGGCGACGAGAGCGAAAGCTAATAGCCGCCGGCGAGATGGAGGTGCGGCAGGCGAACGAGACGCTGATGCGATACCTCAAGCAGTGCTCCGATATGCACGACGCCTCGCTATCCGGCGAGCTGGAGATCGACCAAAGCTACGAGGAGCGGCGCGTCCACAGAAAGACCAAGTCGCAGCGGGACAAGCGGGGCCAACTAATCAGTAAGTGAATTACGAAAAGTATATAAAATATAAAAGTTTATAAAATATTTAAACAAGTGTATATATTATTCAAATAAATATATATTTGTTTTTCTATTTTAAAATAGAATGTGGGAAAAGATCAACTAAAAGTCTAGACTTAATGATAATTTTCCGTGTAACCTCCACGATTCCCAGTTCCCAGTTCCTAGGTCCCATTGAGTAAAGCCAGCTGGGCCGAAAGCTCGCTCTGCCCACCTACCCACCCACTCATACTAATCTCGATTCTGCGCACTCCCCTACATAAGGCACTTGGATAAAAGTCATTAGACATTATCATAAAATATAGAGGTTTCTTCTATTTTATTAAACCATTTACAATTAAATTCATGAAATCGTTTTTCGCAAACCCTAATGAGTTTTTGATAAGGTTGTTCAATCTAAAAATCATTTTTATACTGTATAGCAAACAAAATATATGATATTGATTTACAGCTTATGTAGTTTGGGTTCCAAATATAATTTTTAATATTTCAAAAATATTTTCTAACCAGTCTAAAAAATTCTTTTAAATGTTAACAACCTATATTCCCTCAATCACTTTCATTCAAAACCCCTAGGCTATAATAATCTAATTATTTCTTTTGGTGTATCTATATAATGCCTGTCATATTTACTCTCTCCCTCAGGCAAACTGTATTCGGCTGGCGGCATCTCCTCTATTCTAAAGGAACTGGCCGATGACATCGCCCCAGCCGAGGGCGAGGAGATCTACAACCCATTCACGCCGGTGGTCTCGCCCACGGACGATGCGCCCGCGCACATCGACAAGATGTTCCTGCAGACGTCATCCGGCTATCGACCGGTGGAGCACAGTTACTACAAGCGCTCCTTCCTGGGGGCCGCAGCCCGTGGCTCCTCAGGCGGTTCGGCGATAGGCGGCGGAATAGGTCGTATCGATGGCATCTCTGCTGCAGAGCTTGGAGGCGCTGGACGCCTCTTCCGCTCCAGCGGCAGCCATGGCCACGGTGGTGACGGAACTGTGGGCGGCTCGGGTAGCGGGCGGGGCAGCTATGGGGATACCCGTTGCCTACTCGATGCCGACTTTAATCGGTAAGTCTGAGGAATGAAAAGACTGTTTAACAAACCTTTGATAGTGACAGAGAATAATATTTAAGAAAGCCTCAATACATAAATTTATCTGAATTTATCTTATTTATCTGAACCTAATTACGTGTCCTTCTTAAAATAAAATTCTTGAAAAATATAGAATATAAAATTCTTGCTCCAATCCTCCATTTTATTTAGTTTATATTGATCCAACTCTAACCCAAATCCCAATCTCGTTGCAGCAATGGTATCACCAGCAACATACAACTAGCCTGTGTAGTTCAACGAATCTGGCTGCTCATCTCGAATATATGCCATGGCCTGCTAGCTGGTCTAGCGTTGGCCCATCTACTCTTCGTGCTGAGCAGCCATCCCATGGATTGGGCCAAGGTCATCAATGGCATGAGTCTTGCTGGCGAGACAATGTCATCCACCACATCACCCTCAACCCAGGCGACACCATCGATGACGATGGACTTGCCCACAGCGGCGACACTGGGTAGCAATTCCGGCGATCGGGGTACGGAGCCAAGCGGAGTTCCAGCTGGAACGGGGGCCAGCGATGCCCTGGCGCTGATAAGTGATTATGCGGGATTTGCAGAGATCTACTTGAATACGTTCTACTGTTTGGCCATAATCTGTCTGGTTTCTGTTTTCGATCGGTAAGTAGGAAAAGTTATAGAAGTTACTCATCTTCTTATTATAAGGTTCTTGTATTGTGCCTTGACTCCTTAGAGGCTTCCTCCACTCAATTAATTTTAAGTACTTAAAATTTTGCGTGCCCATCTAAGTACTTGAGCTCATTTCCTTGCACCGTTCTATTTCTGCCATAGTCTTGCGATGTCCTTTGGCTTGATTAAAAGTCAATTTGGGGGACCCGCAACCTTCGTAAATAATTCTACTAAAAATAGAAACCATTCCGTTACACAGCCAAGGAGTTCGACTCGAGGACTCATTGACCTCAGGCGTGTGTAGGCCTCGCTGCGAGTTTCATTGAGCTGAAAGTCAGCCGGATGTGGGTAACCTTCCCACCTGCCCTGCCTGCTCCTGGTTGCGCGTTTTATTTCGGACTAGAGTCTAGACAGGGGACTTTGGAGGCGCTAGAGTGGGCGGACCTAATTGAACTGTGACCTCAATTCAGGAACTTGGAACTTGTTCGGCTTCGCGGTCGCATAGAAATAATTTGTATGGCTCTCATTGCGTGTCGCTTTCATCAGCCACAAAATATTTTAATGCCCTTAAACTTTGCTCTTTTTGCATGCCAAAGTCGCTGCCCACACACACACACACAGACACAACCACTCGAAGTCGACGTCGGCGCCGTCGTCGTCTCTGCCTGCACTCTTGACCTTTAAAGGCTGCGCCAGTCGATGCCATAAGTGTGTGGGTGGCTTTGGGGGGACGATGAGTGTGGGCAGGCGGTGGGGAAGCGGTATCACAGCCGCCGTCTGTCCCTCTGCTCGGCATTCGGCTGGGCACAAGTGTGAAACTGTGTATGACATTTCGCTTCGTTATCCCAGCGCCAGCTGATTTATGTGCGGGTGTAGCTTTGCTAAATGTTAAGCAGCTCCTGGCACCGGAGTCTGTGTGCTGCTGACCTTTGCCCATTGCCAAATGGAGTGCGTCCCAGGATTTGCTTTCAATTAATATGCATTCTGCTAAATGTCAGTCCTTTACTGACATTCCTGAACTTTGTACATTTTACGAATTCTTTTTTAAATCATTTAAAGCATCTACATGAATACATCAGCAATATCCGAGAGACGGCTATGATTTATTATTTAATTAAAATTTTATTTCTGATAATATCATAGTGCGGCAAGGGTTACCTTATATTTAATGCCCTAGGCAAAAGGATATTAAAATATAAATAAAAAAATCAAATTTAATATTAATTTTTAGGCTGAGAATCTGATTTTGAAAAAGTTTTTAATTAAGTTTCCATGGTATATCGTTCCTAAAAGTAACCTCCTTTTATGTTTTCTCCCTTCAGCATGGATATCTGCCGCTGGAGCTTCTCGAATGCCAGCGAACTGATATCGTTCCGCTGGCTCATCATAACTATGATCTATGTGGCGACAATAATCCTAACAATTTGCTCCGATTCCATCGACGAGAAGCTATACCTGTTCAACAACAATGCCAACATTACGCTGACCCAGCAGGAGATGGTGAGCGCGGTTACCCTCTTATCCTTATTATATAGTCTAATTTATTCCATCCCAAAATTAGCTAAGTAACAGTGTGCAGAGCGTTTGGAGTAGCCTGTCGGTGACGAGAAGCATTGCCGCCATATCGGGATGGATTATGATCGGACTGACACCGCAGGAGGATATGTTGTATGAGCATCTGGTGGATCTCACCAAATATCAGTTGACAAATAATTGAATTTAAGGCGTACGCAATATTTCGAGAAGGTGTAAATATTTTTGTAGTTAAACTCTTAGCAGCTGTTGTTCAGTTATTGGCTTTTTATATGGCATAATCAAAGCGCAATAGGACTCTTACGTATACCCAAATCTTAAGCTTTAAAGTCGTCTCTTAAGGATTCACATTGATGCCCTTCGCAGGCCGCTAGAACAAACCGAAACAAACATGAAAACCAATTATTTAACAAACAAGAAGCCTAAATGGTTACCTTAAAGCTAGTTAACTAAGACATATAGCAGACAAGTATGAAAAATGAACATTTAGAAATACCTATATATACCAAATAGTTGTATCCGTGTACTTATGCATATATATACAATGTGTTACCTATATAGATATACACCTAACTATACAAATACTGATATATTATATACGCGAATATAGAAATATTTACAATACTTGAAATCATTTTTCGTACACATATCGTCTAATGAAACCGAATCCTTAGTTTATTCACCGTTGCGAAAATTTCAAACCGAAAGGCTTCCTCGAATGAAATCGATAAAGGTTGAACGAAATGAATAATAACTTAGCAGATGTCTTTTGTATAAAGCTAGAAAACGTATTTATGTACATACAAATCCAAATTATTAGTTATATCCATGAGAATGATGTATTAAACACTGAAATATCATTCAAGAGTCTGGAAAGCATTAAATGAAAATTATTCGTTGCTTTGTAAATTCCCTTTCCTTTGAAATCACTATAAAGACAATTTGGAATCTTACCTGAGCTGTACATAAACCGAGTGCAATAAAAAACGAATATTAATGTTTTCTTATATATATAACAAAGTGTATTGTGTATACACAACCAATATACAGAGGCAAATGTAATGAAATTAAATCGAATTATAAGCTAACGAATCGAGAAAAGCGAAAAGGCATTAACTCTCATTGTAAACTTGTATATAGAAAATATATATAAACGCAAAATAAACAAAAATAATGTATAAAGGCAAGGTATGTTTATTTGACGGGATACCTAATTATGATTTCTATTAACTATATTACAACTATTCAAGATTATATCAAATAGTATTTGAAATGTCCACCTATATATTAAAGTAAAAAAGACCACCAGTATAGTATACATTTTATTTTGATTTTGTAAGTAGCTTTGCTTTTAATAAGAAAAAGAAACGTTAGATAATTTCTTTGAAAATCATAATGAATAACATAAAATTGTATCTGCCTTTACTGTACAGCAGGTAAGTGTAATTATTATTTAAGAAAAAAAAAACCAGTACTTCAGTTTAATACTACAAAAAGGGTGTAAGCCTAGGCACAATGCTGTTTGAAAAACTCCCAAATAAGCAGTGATGCTTCAAAATTTGTATCCTGAGAGACGAATTGTGGAATCTCCACGACATAGTCTAGCACTCCCGTCACGTTAATAGGTATTCCATGCTTTTCGTGCCTGAAAAACATACTTTTTAATGGTGCTTGTTGGAACTATTGCTTAGAACTCACCCCAACACCAGTATACACTTCTTTGGAAACTTGAAAAGGTCGAATTTGGGTGTGCCGGCAGATCCTTTAGAACTAACAGCTTTATAACCCTCGGCCTGCTTTGCCAGAATAAATTCCACTAGGTTTTCGGACTTTACCTTAACGATGCTGAAATAATTAACGTAAGATAAGGATTTACAATTATTTTGTTTGTTTGATTTCCTACCTTAAATGGCTAGGACTAGTCTCCGCCAAATGTGATTCCTCGGCAACAACCAGAGATTGAAATCCAAACTTCTCGCAGGTGCGCCTCAGTGCTGGGAAATTGATTTCACTATCAAGAAGAGAAGCCACTAATATAAGATCCAGACCAGAGGTATTGCCTGAATTGTTAGCTTCCGTGGAGGGGAGTATGCTTCCTTCGGAACGGGTTTGAGGAGGTGCGACTTCCCCGGATGATGGCAATTTTCTTGCAGCAAATGCGTGACGAATATTTTTGTATGAAATATATTTGGAATAATTATGGATTTCATCGAAGGGCACATTTGTTATATACAAAATACAGCATAAACGATCATAATTCCAGATAAAATCTGGAAGCCAAAGCCGAGGATCACTTTGAAGGTCGTGAAGCTTTTCCCCCAACGACGTTTCTATTGAGTTTACCAGGATTTCAGCGAGGGGAATACAAATGCTTTAAACAAAAAAATTTTTAATATTATATCGTCTTCATGATTGTGTAATTATTTACCTTCCTTCAACACACGTGACAGCTAGTTTATGGAGGATCAATTGAGCGAGAATGCGCGTGGAACGAGTGGATCCCATTGTGAACGGTAGAAGTAGCGAAAACATTTCAGATAATTTGTTCTGTTCGTTAAGGTTTCCCAAATTTTTACGAATGAAAATATAAGCGATGGAGAGATATGATTCCTGTTGCCTTGGCTCCAAATTTGGTAATGCATTCAACGCCCAATCTATGTTCTTCGCATAAACGCTTACCAGGAACTCGTGCATAAGGTTTATTCCGAGCTGATCGGTAGGCAATAACAAAGACTCCAAGGATATCGGACCATTGTAATAGCGGCGCAATTCAATCAAAGCAGAGGCAATACGCATTTTTTGCCTGTGCACCTCGGAGTTTTCAGTGTACTGGGGATGCTCTATGGACAGCTTTTCGTTAATTTTCAAAAGTTCTTTAAACACTTTAGATCTCATTTCATTATTTGTACACAGTTTTAAATTGCATATACTATTATATCGAAGTTCTGCAGATGATTCGACGAATCTCAAGGTGTTGGATGCATAAGCGGCCTCAATGCTAGGAGAATGTTTGAAATCGTCACCAATTTGGCTTAGAAAATTGAAGAAATTAAATCTAACTCACCGTGCCATTCCTGTGGTGGGTTCTCCATGAAGCAGCAGTTTTAAATACAGGGAAATACTTAGTTTTTCGCCTGGTAACCAAACATATTTCGTCTGAAGCATGAGATTTATATAGACGCTTTCAAATTCCTCTTCTGTTAAAATCCTGTATGCGTAGTTCACAACATTTTCACTAAGGAAAAATTCAATGATAATTAAAAAAGTGTCTTTTTTTTGTAGGCTAATAGCTTACATAATGGTAAAGTCGTAAGATTTCAAACGGGAAATCAGAGCTGGCAATACCGCGTCGTCCGTAATTCGTTCCTGATGTGATTCTAATAAACGTGCTAAAGCTAAAATGGTATCATATGTTCCCTGTTCCAACAGCTCCAGGGGGTCCAAGTTTAGTTCCTCCAACTGGGCCCATGAATCCATGTTCAAAGTGAAGAGGTCCACGCATCGTGCCTTCAGGAAGGATGTCTCCTCGTCAGTTTGGCAGTCCAGTCTGTCCAGCAAGTGCACTTGCATCTCCCCGAGACTTTTTCCCTTTTGAAGTAACGATGTGTCCACGTTGTAAAACTTTCGATAAAAACGGGTGAATAATTCTTCGTTTTTAGTAATAAACACAAAGCGCAAAAAGCCATGCTTCTGTTTGGGAAGAGTTTCCATTTTCGAGAATAAAGTATGTGAAAGGTCCGGTTGCAAACCAAAAGAACAACGATCATAACATAAAAAAATGTCAAAGAATCTTCGGCTGAAGAAGTCTATATGCTCCTCAAAATCTGTGCAGTTACCGATTTTATCTTTTAATCGCTGGGATTCCGGAAATAGATCCCCCTTGTTAAACAACGATTCCATGTAGACTATGTAATCCCTCAAAGAAAAACCGTCGATAGTGTCCTGAAATTAAAAAGTGATATCATTGTCTTTAAGCTAACGTAATTAAAATGTTGTACCTTGAATATCAAGATGACATGATCCCGAGCTCCCTCTCGAAGATCATAGTTGTCGATGGCCTTAACATTAAGACACAATTTAATAAACAGCTCCTTAGGAACACTCTCCACTTGTTCAGATTCTAAACTGCGTATCCAGACGAGCAGAGGAACGTTCTCCCACGAAACTACCACCAGTGCCTCCAGGAGGAGTTCCACATTGCCCTTCGCCACAAACTGCTTCACTTGCTCTCCGTTGAGCCAGTTGTCACCCTCGGGATCAAACAACTGGCTTCTGTTGGTGGCCATAAGGAACTCCGGCAGCAGACCTAAGCGGCAGAGGTACTCTACACTCAGGTGGGTCAGAAAGTATTCCAGGGTTTTGCGCAGCACCTGGACTCTGTCCTCTTGCAGGAGTCTAATGCAAATGGTTCTTAGCCATGCCAGCCAACGCTCTCCGAGATCGCTGGACATCAGCTGCAGCTGGGGTAGCTGCGTCTCGAGGGTAATCCCAACCAGGTTTGGATCCTGCTCTTCCAAGTCTGCCACGATGACCGCAAAAGCGATCCACTGCTGGGCACTGCACTGCAAGCCATTTAGCAAGGCTTCGCTATGCTCTCCATCAATTTCACACATCCTTTGGATCTTGCTGATGAGAAAGTAGGATGACTTCCGATCCTGTGGCTCCTTTGACAGCAAAATGGTTCGAGTGGCGTCCAGCAGACGCAGGAAACAGTCTGCTCCCAGCACACGCACAAAGTCGTTGAACAGATGTCCCAAAATCTGGCCCGCATATGGATGAACATCATCCGAAGCCCTGGCCAAGAGTTCGTGCAACATGAGCGCTCCTTCGTCGGCAGGGATTCTGCGTACCTGGAGCTGGACGCAGACGAGGGCTCTGGCCAGCAGGCGGCGGCGCGTGGATGTCTCATCCTGGCTGCCAGAAATCACAGCAGAGATTACCTTGTGCACAAGTTGTGTGTTGCATAGCAGGTTGTCCTGCACCAGGGTGTAAATGCTCTGAATCACGCGCTTCAAGCCAGGCTCGTGGTCCCGGAGAATCTCCACCAGCTCGCAGAGTAACTCATCCCGCACGGTCACTCCTCGCTGTAGAATTTGAACTTCCGCGTTGAAGTCCATGGTTGTCGTCGTTTCTGTTCTGATCAAACTCGTCGCTCGGTCGGAAAAGGAATCTTTTACTCGGGGTTCCCCGAAATATAAACGTGCTTCACCGATGACAAAAGAATTCTGCGCCAGCGACAGGCTTACATCGACTATTCGATTCCCCGTGTAATCGACATCCAACTCTGTTTTCCCTTTATATTTGAAAGTACAGTGCATACCCGTTATATGCAATTATTACTATATGTGCCATTAAAAAATATTTAATTTCCTTGAGATATTGACAAATAGTGTCAATTTAGTTATACAATTTTTTGTAATAATATAGCAAAATCATAATACTGTAGCTTGAGCATATAAGCGATATTTACTGTGTTTGTAACCAAAGACTTAAGTGAAATCTTTGCTTCTTTAACATAAACAAAGCCGTGAAAATGCTGCATAAACATAATTTATACAGTGGTTTTAAGCCCTTTTCGTATTTGCACTAGCAAGGTTAAGTTTCTTTAAAATTTCTATATAAAATATCTCCTAAATATGGTACACTGTATTTATTTTAATCAATAAAATAAAACAAATTAATATAAATACAATAAAGAACAATTCTCACACAGTAACCTAATTCGTACAGTTATGAAAATATGAAGAATCTATTTGTTTTATATATAATATTATTTTTCATTTACATTTTAATACATTATATTAATATTTATTATTTAATTTTTATTTGTTTGTTTGTTTGTTTTATTGGTTTATACTGGAATATTAAGCCATTGTATCAACTATTAATTTATTTAATTTAATTTTTTTTCGTAAATTTTTTATATTTTTTATATTAAAGCAATCGAGAGATTTTCTATAACTCCTCTACCTCTAAATATTTTTGAATACAAAATTTATCGAAAATTTTTCAAATGTTGTGTTATTATATGGTATTTAATTCATTAAGCAAACTTTAGCCGTTTCGCCACAATAATTTTTTTAAAAGTTGCCCGTTTTGCGACCAGCGCTGCCAGACCTTTATGACATGTATTTTACACAAAATGTAATTATGTAGAGGAGGTGATGATTGTTTTGACCAAAAGATGGCAGCACAGTAAAGGAGTAACTAGGAAAACAAATTATAATAATTAGAATTTACTACTTATAGTATTTTTAAATACAAGAAAGGACATTTTATAAAGACAGTAAAAACGAAGTTGTAAGGGGTGTATTTTATTCTTTAGAAGAAGAAATGGTTTATTAACTGATTTCTTGTGTTTTCGGGAGTCTCAATAACCTCAGGAAACAATGCAACTCCAACGCTTCCCTTTCTCAGAAAGGCTCCTTTGATTCAATAGTCCTCTAGAGTTCAGTATGGCAAATATAGGGTTAATTATAAGTAATTTGTGATATCCAACGTTATCAATAAATAATATTTTTATTTATAATATTATTAAATTAATTTATACCTAATAAATGCAGCTAATTGTAGTATTGGGTAGATTCAACTAGCCCAAAATAATGAGAAATTTGTAACTAAGTTAGAGCACTAAAAGTTAAGTAAAAAGTATAAAGGACTTTATTGAAAATGTAAGTATAATCGGATGATATATGTATGTACATGCAAATTATTTGGCAATAAGGTTGACATTTTGAGACAAACGTGGCCCACATTTGAACAAGATTTTCTACAAAATAGGCATGTTTAAAACTAACTCTAGCCGCTTTACTTAATAGTTAAATATATATAAAACTACATATATACAAATAGTGTTTCGCATATTGTGTTAACTAGGAATATAAATGCCAAACCCGGACAAAAATATTCTAGTAAACTCTTTTTCTTAAATTATATAAATAATATATCTGTGCTTAAGTGTGTAAAAATATATCTTTTGGTTAAAATATTATCTGGTGATTTTTTTTCATATTCATCTATTTCCATTTGCTTTATGACACAATGAAAGCTTATTTGTTGTCAGCTGCGTCTGTTAAACCTTCTCAGTAAAAGCCACCAAGGCTATATATTCCTGCAACCCGGCAGCCAATAAAACTTTTAATGGGTCGCTAAATGGCTTCAAAGCGAAAACAAAGCTGTTAAAATAAGCGAAAAAGGGGGATTCACTCGAGGTGGCTCCGGACTCAAGCTTCACCAATTTCAAATTTAAATGTTCCACTTCATTTGCAATTAATTTTTTGTTGCTATTTCTCCATTCCAAATTATTGTCATGTAATATTGTCTTTGTCATGTAAATTTGGAATACAAATTCAAAATTAATGGATAAAACATTTTTTTTTTAAGTTTTTTCATTGCCTTTCCTTCTCGTTCGAGTTTACATAAATGATTTTAAAATATATTTTGTGTCCTGGATAAAGTTGCAGGAAAAGTTTTGACCTTTTGGGGGAGCGAATAATTTCCATAAAATGCATAAATCTTGATGATAGTCTTCAGGTGTCATATAGAAAATGTGGGATTTATTTTGGAGTTTCTTTATCCAATTTGGTTTTAATGCATATATTTTTGAAAATGCCATTAGCCAAAATGGGCATTTAGTATGTTAATGATGTACACTTTGAGAAAATTGAGCGCCGCGTAATTAGATGGTCTCAGGATGTGGCACAAGTCATCTTCATACAACGTTATCGGCGTAAACGCATTATCATCATTAAACACTTGCTGCAATTATGGCGCTAATTGAATTTCTAAATGAATATAATGACTCGACAACAACAAAAGCAAGCGCAGCAGAATAGACCAGGATATATGATACTTTGTGGCCTAGCATCCCCGCTATAGGGACCACAGGCGTATAAATTATAAGCAAAATGACTGGAAAATATCGACTAGTTGATGCCCCTTGATTTCCTTACTTTAGAATATAACATTACTTTTTCAGAATATAACTACAAATTTAAAAGTTGTTTGTTATTTACAGTTGATACAGTTTATTTGTTGAACTATCTACACATTTAAATTAATTTAAAATAAATAAAATAAATAAATAAAAATTTAAAGCCTTAAAAGTTCAACAAGATTTATTTAGCAAACCAAACGCAGAGCCCAATACTGCCCAAATCCAAAAGCATCCTGGAAGCAAGCACTGAGTGAAAAGGACGAGTCTCCTGTAATTAGGTTAAACACACACGTGGCTCCAAGTGCCCGGCTGCGAATGTGTGAGTATGTGGCCTGGCTGGAGATAAAACGCTGCAAAAATGAGGTGAGAAAAGGAAATAAAACAACCAACGGCTGGCCCAGCGAATAAAAATGGCGCGTAATTTGCACGTTTAACCGCATGACAGCGGAAAAAATTACACAACCCATATACACAATAGACAAAGACACAAACACGTACGGATATTAGCAGTGGCGTAGGTGGGACTTTAAAAAAATAATACCACATTAACATTAAGGTTTACATTATTGGAACCTTCAAGAATTTGATTTAAGGTATATTTTTTATTAATTGTAATTTAAGAAATAATGCAAGAGTAATTTTATAAAAATGAGAAGCCTTGGAAGCTGGGTTTTCTATCCTGAAAAGGTTTTTATAAGATATAGTTATAGAAATATATACAGTAGTATTTTCATAAAAGTATAAATGGTCTTGAAACTGATAGATATGTTAAGCTAAAATACTCTAAAAAATATAAAAGATGAATAAACAATTTAGTTTTACTTTATTTTTATGCTAACCTATGTTTCTTTTGGGTTTAAAACCAGAGCTACTTCTACTATGAACTACTATGAAATATCTTTCATTCTTTGAAACTTGAATTTCTCGGACAAAAAAAAGTTTTAAAAATATATTGTCAAACCCGATTGATAGCTTTATGTGAATATGATCCGACATCCCTGTGACAAAGCCCTGCTGGCGCCCCTGTTCACTCCTGTGAGCTTGTGGCGTCTAAATTACAATTACATGGCAGCAAAGGCTAGAGCACTCAAGTCGCCCAACTGGCCTTGGGTGGGCTGCTGCTGCTGTTGCTGCCTCTGGCCCAGTTGTTGTGGCTCCTGGGCTGGACATTTGAGCATATGGTCGAGTAATTATCCTGTTGCTCTGCCAACATCTCGGCTTAGCCATCATCCATTGCTGTGCCCTACTTGAGCTCCACTGCTTATCGGAATGCCCATCAGGCTGGCTGGTCCGAGATGACTTGATTAATTGAAATATTCTGAGCCTAAGTTCGGGGACTCATTGTAATAGCTCATTGGGAGCATATGTTGGGCCCGTCACTTGGGTATTCAATGAGGATAATATCATTGCGGGAATGATATTAAGTTATGCGCAGTGTATAAGGGTTTTTACTCTTCCAAATACCTTGGTGGAATTGTTTTAAAATTATAATCTGATAAAAACTGATAGAAAAAACTATATATTTTTTAGTTAATTTTCAAATTTAATCCATACAAATATTTCTTATCCCAGAGGATCTCATTGTGTCTAGAATAGTAGTATTTCTCTTGTCCTAAATCTTACTAAATTTATAAATTTCATGGATGAACTAACGGCCTTCAGTAAGAGTATCTGCTTGTCTTTAGCAACGCCCCTTGGCTGGACAAAAACTTGTTGCCTTAACTTTTAATTAAGCCAAGAGTTTGTGTAATGTATCTGGCCGTGCGTCCTTCTGTGCTTCCAGAGAGTGTGTGCGAAATTAACAAATAAGCGTATAAATTATGCCACAACACGCTGGCAGCTCACACACACACACACACTCTATCCTGGGAGAGCCCGGAGGCCACCAGGAACAGGGAAATATGAGCGCCAACTGTGGACGGGCGACATTGGCAGCTTTCTCGCCATTTGGCGTCATTGTCATCGATGTGGTAGGAAAGGGGGTCAGGCATCCCGTCTCTGTCCATTGCCAGTAGCCTCCACATCCTGCCAGCCTCGAATTACATTGGCTTTAAAACGCAATGCGTCCTTGTGTGTGTGTTTGGGCCACTGCTAGTGTTGCTGCTGGTCAAACATGACACTTGCCAAGACCCAGAGGCTCTTCAAACTCCAGGCAGCGACTTCAAGATGACCATTAAGGCT